CCCCCTCCCCCCCCCTTCCTAAGGCAACTTCATAAACATTTCCAACATTGCCGGAAAATTTGGCGTCCCCATCCCCGTCAATGGATCCCACCCCGGCACCGCCTCAAACCCCTCCGTCCCACACCCTGGATTCGTTCCACTAACAATATCATTCATCACCCCCATATTCGCATACAACGCTGTATTCACAAACCCTACACTACCCTTCCCCACGGCAATCCTCTCCTCGTTCACCAAATTCAAGATACTCGCAAATGCCGGACAACTCGCCGACGTCCCAAATGCCAGGGAGAATTGACCATTCACCGCCGTCACGTAATTAACCCCATTGGCACTCACATCCGGATACCCTCTCACCATCTGCGAATTATTAAACTGATTCGCCCCATATGTCGGAGCATGCTCCGCAAAATAAGTCGCCATGGCCGTTTTCTGATACGCGGGCACGGCAAAAACATTCGAAAATCCCCCACCGCTAAATATCACCCGACTGCTCGCGCTCTCGGGACTGTGCACCGAACTCCCATTCATCACCTGCGTGGCGCCCACACTTGTAATATACGGGCACGTGCCGGGAAAACTGGGATTGAAAATCCCCGTCGATCCATCGTTGTATGCGCCGGTCGTGGCATCAATACATTGGCCTCCGTTACCTGCGACGCCGAAATCCCCACTGGAGTACAGTACGGACACGCCCTGGAGACCGAGTTTCATGTATTCGTTGCATTGTCTCTGTTCGTATTTGGCGCCGAGATCCGCTTCATTCGCACTGTAGGATGTGGAGATTACTTTGGTACTTTGGTAGGCTCCACATTGGAGTTGACCTGGGAATCCGCCGGGTTTGGTATCGGGGTATTGACCATCGACATTTGGATCTTTGGAGTCGCCGCCATCGGCGGTGCAATAGGACGCATCTATTGCTTCGAGAAAATTGTTGAAAGAGCCGCCTTCAACTAGATCACCGACTTGGTAGACGGTTACTTGTTGGGGGTTTATTAGGGCCATGGCGAATTCGAGATCGAGGGCGCTTTCGCCGTTGAATGCGAAGGATTGGTTGGTTTGTTGGACGACGGCGCCGTCAATCAGATCTACGATTGGGACCATGTTTGCTTGAGCGGGCTGGAATTGCTTGAACCACATGTTTAAATCGGTTTGAAGAAATGCTTGAGGTGTATATTCCACAACACCCAGGGTATTATTGGTAGCAGATTTCGAACCAGGAGGAAAATTGTAAAGTGCTCGAAGACATTGAATCGTGATCATTGTATCGCAATCTTCGAGTGACATGAGAGCATTCTTAATATCAGCTCCTTGTTTAGGATTTGATGCATCTTCAGGACTTCCCATTTTTCCAATTGATTTGATATCCGGAACACCGAGTCCAGCTCTCTTTCGCAATTCTTTGGCCCGTCGATTCAATGCTTGTAATGGAGCAGGAAGATCCTTATCATCCTGGAGTTGTTTCCTGGGTGCTCCAATTCTTTTGTCGAAATGTACCGTTGGAGTAACGAAATCAATATGTTCGGATAAATGTCTCGGAATACTATATTCGTGACACGCAACATGTTGATGTCCCCTTTCATGTTGATATAAATGATACTCCGTCTTCAATAAACTCTCAGCTTCACCAGCCGTAGCATTAAATATCATCCACGCATTTCCCTGACTCATCTTGACTCGCGCTGGGTCAATACCAGATTCATGTAACCAAGCTCTCACTACATCCATCGTTTCCTGGGTCGGAGAAAACATCGCGGCAATCTTTTCAGGTCCCCAATGCTGACCATATAATTTGGATTCTGGATGTGATACCTCATTCAAGAACTCTTCTGCTCGATGGAGGTTTTGTTGAGTGAGACCTATCCGTACCGGAAAGACTGCTTCTGGGTGAAGACGAGAGGCCCTTGACCATTTTGCGGGAGGTTCGGATCGTCGTTCGTGGACCACATGTGCAGTTGTCGTTGATGAAACTGGCGATGCGGATATCGCTACCATCAGTGTAGCCAAGTTCAGAATTGTATTGATCCTCATTATTAACTCCCTGGGATGCTAAGCCGGAGCATCTGACGAAATAAAGAGATCAAAAGGAAGAGAAATGAAAAGGAAAATAATTCATAATTATGGCACATTCATGATTGATTCGAAATTAGCTTGAGGCTAGTTTTTGCATTGGCTACAGTTCTGATACTGAAACTATGGACGGAGATGCTAAGAAGTCGAAAGTACATTGTTCCCATTATAGATATAGATACAAACCAAGCAATTAGGTTATTAATCCTTCATACCATGTCCATAACTTAAAAGACTTGCACGGATGCTTGTACAAATTATTGACGATGGAGCCAAGGATTTGAAGTTCTGAATGGGACGTTCAGGAAATGACCAGTAAAACCCCAAGTAAAAGCGTAGACTACCGGGATGCGCTGCTATTTGGTTCAGATCTTTTCAATCTTTGAAACTCGAAATAGGTGGTTTTCAAACTCCTCGTGGAGACCATGCATTAGACATACAACCCACCAAATGCCCTGAGATCCAAGAGTTTGAAGTTTCAGGTAAGTCTGATGGGGATATCTTGGTAGTTACGCTCAAACTACAAAATATGGAATGAATTGATGAGGCAGTAGAGTCTCCTCGTGTATGGGCTATCCATTGTACCAATAAGAGGCTGACGCGGTAAATTTGAGATCAGTGGATACCGGACTATAAACCGCTCAAGGTCATGAGATTTGAAACGAATAAGATCCACAGTTCAAACACCACCAGTTTTCAATTGAGAATATTTCTCAAAGGTTTTCTTTTGAAGAGCACGTTGCTCGTTAATAACCTTCCACAATTCCGCATTTTCTTTTCGTAACTTTTTTTCCTCGCTGGAGGACGAAGGGGAAGACGGGGAAGCAGCTGTAGCTAGAGCTGGTGCTGTAGCTAGAGCTGGTGCTGTAGCTGGAGGTACTGGTCCCGCGAGATCTAGTAATGCTTTCTCGAGCATACCTGGAGGAAATCCTTGATATTCCAAGGCGTGATTAAAGGTCGATGATCCTTTGGCACCATTCAGTTGAGCTGTGAATGTATGATTACCCTCAGCCAATTTAGGCTTGACCACATTTATTGATTTGGTCTTTGGTGTCTTGGGAAATGGAGATTGCATGACAAGATTTGTTACTGGGGCATTCAAGTCCGCAAGTTCTACCAAGAAAGCACGTCTTCCAGTATCCCAGTGTGCAATCTTTCCAGAAGAATGTCCCGAAAACAAAGTTGTTCCGTCATAACTCAGCCCTAAACAATGTACAGCACCAATTTCCGATGGCGGGGACCAAGCAGGTAGGGTAATTTGAACGGGAGTATTCTGTAGGCCGATGTCATATAATGGGTTGATTGCTGAGTTGGACTGAACAAGTTCAATCATTTGTAATGAAGCGTCTTCAAAGCCCGCATATACCGCGCGATCACACGGATCCAATGCCATGCATAATGGTGTTGCTGGGAGTAAGAATGTCCGTAAGAGATCTCCCGTATGATAGTTCCAAACAATAATCGAATTATCCTTACTCGCAGATATGCATATATTTGATGTACTGGAACTATGACCCATAACAACGGAAGTTATTGCGGCTCGATGGTTTGACAAGGTTCGGATTGGTTCATGTGGTTCGTTCGTATTTGTATGCAATGATAGAAGTTGTGGGATGGACCAAACATGGAGATTCGAATCTTCGGAACCAGTAACAAGGTGTGTTGAAGTCGCCGCAATACATGAAACTGGTTGAAGATGTGCAGCTGATGTTGAGACTTGTCGACCGGTGAAGACCTAGAACCCGAAAGAATTAACACAAATAAAACCCTATACTCCATATTCGTAGTTCGGCACAACACGACGTAAGCTGTGCATTTTAGAACTTACATCCCAGAGTATGACCCGCCCTTCGGCTGTACCCAATACTAAAAGTCCATCGCCGACCAAAGTTAAAGTGTGTAACCTTTCGGGAAAGGAAATTAAAGCTTCTTGATTCCCGCGTTCTCTTGAGTAAACATGAACAACCGCCTTATCAGCTTGTGCCGCGAAAATATGAGTAGAATTTGCCGCGAGGGCGTTCACTGAAGTCGAACTTTTCTTGAAGTTTGATTCTATTTTCGGAGAAGGGTGTAAGGTGTGAAGGTAAATTCCGATATCTTTCGCAATGGCAGTATTCGCAGTTCTTGGCTGGGCTCGAATCGATGTAATAAATCCTTCGGATAACATGATTGCCGATGATTTCCTCGACTGACAGTGTTTTTATTTTTCGGAGACACCGGTAATTGTGTAGTTGAGAGTTCCCTCGTACTGTTTTAAGATAGCCAGGAGATATTCAAATATATTGACCTGTCAGATTCTTCGACGACTCCTTTGGTATAGTCTGCAGAATTGGCGCAAAGGTATAATCCTCGTTTGATATTGCTTGCAGTTGATCAACAAGGGATTGAACGGTTTGATCGGAGTTGTGGTGTTTTTGGAGATTGCTTGAGGTGTGAAAGTGTAAATGCGCATGAAATAAAAAGGCTGAAGGGGGGCAAGAGGCTGCAGATGCAGATGCAGATGCAGATGCAGAACCTGAGGATCTCAAAATAGAAATAATATAATGAATATCGTTCAAGGGCCAGGGGAATAACTTCAAAATTATCGGTATTTAACTTCGAATTCAAATTATCAATTCCAGTCTCGATCCGTATGGGTGAGAGGGCGATGAGAGTTTGAGTTTGTTGGGGCAGCAGAAGAAAAATAAATTTACTTTTCTTTTTCGCTTTTTCTTTTTCGCCTATCGGTGATAGACTTTGGGACCCCTACTAGGTAATCATCATGGCATGGAGTCAACCATGTTGAACAATCATCTGTCAAACGAGCTGTCAAACCATCTTCAGATCTACCTCAATGAAAAGTTAAGTACTGTAAGCCATTTCTCATCACTTCAAACTTCAAACTTCACGCCAATATGTTCGCCATTCTAGGTCTTTCTCAGCTATGGTAGTCAAGTATGTATTGTAGCTGGTTCGGTTGATCCCTTCATTTACTACTAATTCTACTGTACTCGTATTGGTCTTTTATTCTAATGTGAGATTAGAGTAATATTGAGAGCGAAACGGGATCGATCTTCCAATTAATTACCTTGTCACCACTTCAATACATATATATACATTGCACAATGTCGCATCTTGGCCAATAGGCTCAAGGTCGGGGGGGGGGGGTGAGGTTCATTAGACTTTCGGCTTCGGGCTTTACATTTCTGCAGGGCTATTATACAGGGCTATTATACAGGGCTTTAATGATTCTATGCAGTGGATGCAGTCATTCTGTAGTGGGTTAATGGATGAACTGGTGAGGCTGAGAGGTTGGGCCAAGTGGTCACAAGTGGCTGCAGATTCGTTACACATGAGAGCTGGAAGATCCATTTGACCAAATCTCCACTTATAATCTTCTTCTTGGACCTTCTATACTGTTTCCCCATTTCACCAAATGAACCAACCAGACACAACAGATCCTCCAAAGATCACCCAGCAACGGAGCCTTACCCCATATTGAGACCCCATCAAACACCCGCCTGGCACCATACATGATCATACACTAGACCACTAGACACCATACATACGCCATACATACACCATACACATCATACAACAATCATGCACACCATACATACGCCATATGATATCTCGATTTAACCAATCGGAATCATGTACTACCCAAACTTTTGCCTTATCTTCATGTACTCTTATGCACTCTAACACCATTTCTCCAACTACCTATTCAAGCGAAATTTTGGTGAATTCTGCCTAAATCATCCTTAGCTATTTGTGTCTCAGCTCCGGGCTTCTCCCAGAATACCATGAATTCGTTTCTAAAGTTTTACCCTCTACACAGCCTCCTCGTCAAAAATGACGCCCAGAAACTCATCGTCGGGTCGTCTGTGTAGTTAGTTTATTCCACTTTTACCCCAGTGAATTAAATTACACAGACCTCAAATGGTTCTGGTGGCTAACCAGCCAGGTATACACCCTATTACAGCATCATTGTCTTTGCTTTTGCCATGCTTTACCTTATTCTCGGGCTCCAAGTGTTGCACAATGCACGGCATGTCAAATCAATCATCTGCAGGGGAGGATAGAAGAACCATGATCTCCCTTGTACGATTGACTGAAGGGGGTCATAACGTCCCACATATTGCCTTGCTTTGTTTTCTTATCCCGGAAGATATCATATAAACAACTTCATCATCTAGCAAATGCTATAATATGATATCGTTTTCCTCATAACTTTTAATCTACACTTTGCATGCAATTCCTAGACAAATCGATTGCCAAGTGATACAAACACCAATCAAATCACTTCGTCAAGACATCATCATGGGTTCATCGAAAGTTAGTCAAAAACATAACCATAGTTCTACATACAATTCTCCGAAGGTACATACGCCGCGCAGGACATATCATGTTCCCTCGGACCCGCCCTTTGTTTACCATGACAATGAATGTACGGACTCGCGAACAGTTTCTACGAGAGCTTCTCTACCGAGTATGCAGTCCGATATGTATACGCAAGAAAGTTCAAACTTTAGTTCGATGAGACCTGCATCTGCACATTCATCAAGAAGATCAGTCTCTGGCATGAAACGACTTTTACCACTCAAACTTTCCTCGCCTCAAATACCAGATTCCGATTCCTGGTCAAGATCAACATCAACATCAAGCAAGAGGACAACTTTTGGTCAATCAGGACGTTTGGGAGATCTATCAAATTCTGGAAGTATAAAGGAGAGTAGGGTGGCATTTGTACCAAGATTAGCTATACGACCAGAAAGATATCGCGATACTCCCATTATTTCGAAACCTGGATCACCTTTAATTGGAAGTCTCCTCTATCAGGATGGCAGCTGTATTAAATGCTCCGATGAAGTTACTTGTACTACATCTTGTATCATAAATGAGTATGATGGATTCAGTGATTCTAGTTCAAGCAAAGAATGCAGTTCGGATTACTCGAATCGTCATACACAAAGCGCAGCCTCAACACCCATCTCATCAAGAAGACGCTATGGAGCGGGTTCCGATTTCTCCTTCAAGTGTTTGGGTGAACCAATCCACAAATTAGGGTCTTCATGGTTCGGAAGTCACGTCAAGGAGCGAGTGATTCCTAGACTTTCGACTATGAATATTGAAGAGTGGCTCAGTGACAGTGCAAGCAGCATGTGTGAAAGCTCTGATGATGAGGACTCTGATGACTTTTTTGTATGTTATCTTTTCCCGTCAACGAAATAATCACTAATATCGGTATCTCTAGGCTTGTGCAACAGCTCTTGCACCGGCTAGAGCGCACGTTGTTCAAGTGAATAATAAACAGTCTCCGAGACTGTCTATTACGATTCCAGGACGATCATCATCAGCTACAAGGTCGAAGCATTCCGACTTCTCTGCTTTGCGAAAATTAACATCACGTTCCCCTATTAAGACATCTTTGATAGGTGATCTCGCCATGTCGAGCCCTCCCGCTTCACCCGAAGAACCAGCATCAAACAAGTTTCCTAACAATAATCAACAAAAAGCTGCCGGTTCGCCAGTAGACCCTTCACCAACACCTGCATCCCCCGATACGATCCTCGACATCGTAGCCGCAATCGATGAATGCACGTCAAACTTTCCTACGAAAATGTTATTAGCTGATACTCCATGTATATCATCCATTCGTTCGCATCTTAAAGCTACATCAACCACCAGTGCTTCCAAATCATCTTCTCATCATTTGATACCTCCACCTCCTCCGCCACCTACTACAAACTTTAATCAAACCCGCCCCAAAGGACTCAATCGCCGCAACCGCCCTCAAAAGATATGTCTTTCCCCAACCACGAAGACCAGATCCTTAACCTCGCAAATTCCAACCACCCCACCCTCAACTCCACCATTCAGTCCCGATTTCTCTCTCTCCTCATTTCCCTCTTCCACCAACCCACCCACCACTTTCAAACCATCCAACCAACCCTCCATCCTCCCAACTTTTGCCTACCAGCTTGCAGCCGCAAATCTCCAACCCCTCCATACCATCTTCCCCATCTCTTCCGATTTCCTCCGCTCTGCCCTCTACGCTCACATTCTCGCCTACATATTCCTCCAATCTCTCCCCTCTACTCACGGCAATCCCCATGCCGCCCATCTGCCCTCCCACGCCCACATCAATCACCACGCAGCATCCCATTCCCTCCGAAAACAACGCTCGGTCCCCCAATCCTTCTCCTCGTACCACAGCACAAGCATAGTCGGCATCCCCGCCAAAGCAGCCTCAACCCTCGGTCTCTCCTCCTCAACTTCCACCCGTCGATATCCTGGCGCGCCAACCCAAAATAAAAGGATCGAATTGAATCTTAGGAGCTGTATTGGAAAGTTGTTGAAGGGGATGGAGGGGAGGGTTGATGCGCAGGTTGGGAAGGCAGAGGTTGAGGGGTGGGTGTTGAGAAGTTTGATCGAGGTTGTTAGGGGGTGTGAGGGCTTTTAGTTCCGGATTTGCGAGTTCTTTTGGGGAATTTCTTTATTTTGTGTTGGTCGATTGGTTGGTCGATTGGTTGTAGGTTGGATATTTGATTGATTCTTTTTGGTCATGTCGAGCAAAATTGAATGGAGCGGGGAGATATGGGAGTTGTCATTCTTGTCATTATTAGCCTGGTGTTTTTGGACTTGGGAGCGTGGGCTGTGCCTGAAGACTGATATGAGCATTGATATAATAAGATGAGTACGAAATCGGCGATGGATAGGACTGAACGGAACGGAAACATTTCTTTTGGTTTTTTTTCTTTTTTCTTTTTTTAATAATTATATAACTTACAAAGTATTGGATGGATATCTGCATTGGATTTGGGTATAAAAGCATGGTTAAGTTATCTAGGGCTTTGCTCAAATGTTGGAGACAATGGTATTGGATAGGAGAGGATGTTAGAGACTCATGGATAGGGAAATATACATTATAGTAGGTAGGTAGTAATACGCACATTAGCTAGTAGCCTAGAGTAGATTTAATATTATTCGAGTATATATTTAATGTTTTGGCTTCATGCTTATTTGTTATCATTGTATATATAATTGAACGAGAAAAGAGAAGAGAGGAGAAGAGAAACCCCCACGGGCACGAATATGTACAGTCTTTGAGCCTCAAGTGATGTGAGATGATCTGAGAGGTACGCAAATGGTTTTCGGGGAAGTAAACGAGAGTTTCAGGAGCTGGAGTGTATTTGTGTTTATGCTTGTTGTGTGTTATCTTAGATCGGAGTATGTTGTAGTCAAACAAAAAGGTAATTTATAAAACCCATCAAAATGAATTGATTTTGATCTTCTCAAGAGTTGTTCTTCTTGCTAGGTATTTATTACACAGCCCAGTATGTATGTACAGGTGCTTTTCCTCGATATGTATTTACATTGCCACCAAATTTCAAATTTGTGTTTCCTCCACAGGAGAATAAACCATTTTGACTTCCTCAACTCCAGATCAAGGCCATACAAATCTCCATAATCCTAGCACCTGACTCCGAACTAAGCCTAGATTCGAATTCGAAGCACCCCAACCCCAACGCCATCTCGCCCATCACTTATGAGTCATAACTTAATCATAACGTATTCCTAACCACAAGTCAGACACGATCATCATACCGCACGCCGAGATCCAGCAACAGTACCTGCACCCAGCGCCGCAACAAATGGCATCCAAAGCGCGCTCTCACTATGATACTCGACGGTCGTGATGTAGAGTGAACCAATACCCGCATTTACGATAGCCTTTACGAGCGAAGCTTGTTCAGTGGCCGTGCCGGTAAAATGGTGGAATATGACGGAGGATTTGGAGCGTTCGGTGGTGGGGACTTACTGCTGCTTAGTAGTGATTGGGACACATATATGTACTTGGTAGGTGGAATATGAGTAAATATAATGGTTGGTGGAGAAAAACGCATGGCGAATAAACTTACTAGTCGAAACACTCGCTAAAGATCGAGTAGCAGTATAGGTACTCTCCACCATCAAAATGTCATCGGAAATATTGAAAAAATCCGGATCGGCAATAACTCCCGGATTAAACATCACAGATAAACCATCAGTATGTGTGTGGGCTGCGATTGTAGACATCCAGGCTGAGGTTGTGGAGTTCCAGTTTGAAATACAGTCGTTGAAGAAGATGCCGGAGACATGGATGTCTTTTGCAGTGTAGGTGGACCAGTGATTGTCTGTTTTGAAAATTGGGGTATGTATCAGTTTGGAGGTAGATGGAGAAAAGGAGGAGGAAGATTTTTAAGTTATTCGGGTGTTGATAGGGGGGAGGGGAAGGCGGGGGGTGGGGGTAACATACAACTATCTACCTCGGTATTAACCTCCTGGGTAGTGCGATGCATATAAGCCGTATCAACATAGCCAAGAAGATTAGTGTTTTCAAAGGCATCCAAAGAGGCAATAGCATCAATATAGTTAGTGTCAGGGAAGGTGTTTGCTAAACCTGGGCCAGAGTTTGGGTTGACAATGATGTTGAAGTTAACAGAAGGGTATGCTTTAATAGCTGTGGTGACCCAGTTCCATGCTCCTGGGGCAGGGTAAATGTAAAGGGGGAGGAGGATGGAGGTAAAGAGAACCATCTTGAATTCTTTTGTGGATGGTTCCTGGTGAGTGGGTATGTGTGCAGTTGTTTGTGATGTGACTGAATGTACTTGAGAATGTCTTTGAAGATTTAGAGAGGAAACCGGAGGGAAGGGAGTCCAAGTAATAAAGGAGAACCATCTTGCATACTATTACTAAGTTACAACTAGTAGACTTTGATTAACTCATATTAACTATCTCATCATTAGACAATTTTGAAATTATGTGTGACTTTTAGTCATATTGTCTAAGTTGCATTCATTTTATATGACTGGGAGAATAGCTAGTGCTGAATAAAAAGATTAGACGAATGCTAGAATGTGAAATTGTCAATTAGGATTTAAATTTACTAGAGGACTACAAAGACGGTGAATATAACTATCAGTAATGCTGCAGATATGTATCCCTAGGTTTAAACTTAAACTATACATCAGGAATTCACTGTCCTTTAGTAAGAACATATATAGAGCTGTGAATAGCCAGTCGCTTGCCAGTTTTAGCCTTTACCGAGATGATATCATCATGAAGACTTGGTATCACCCCATTGTGGTCTTTCACTTCTCAGTATATATTGCCCTTCGATCCCCCAGGCCAACAGCCTTTCTAATCAGTACTCCTGCTATAAAATATTGGTCAATTGAACAATTGCAATGATATATCCCCACAGACTGGTTCATCAATCATGTTCAGGAACAGCATAGCCATGAAACCAAATGCATCTTGCAAGCTATTGTACTAGAGCACAAGGGCTTGAGAGAGAAGAGAGAACAGATTCCTATCTAGCTATAGATCTAGGGCAGAGATTCAGAGTAATTGGTTTAATATGGATACTCTCTGAGGACTTCCAACTTCCAAGCCACATATTAACTCGGTTAAAATGTATTTTTCAGACTTGAATCGCTGAGATGGCTACTAGACTAGCCTCCTAGCTTGTCATTCGAAATATCTGAAAAATGCACGTCACTAATTCACCACAAGATGTATATTGATTTACCGGTATTATCGTATGATACATACTACTCGAGTTGTACTCGTGGTGATTTAATCCTGGGGGGAGGTTGATGATAGAGGTCGAAGATTGAAGTAGCCGAGGATATTTGAAGTAATAGGAAAAGATTGGTGATTAAGAGCACATGAGATGAAATAAGGGAGGAAGTTTTTAGTATTATTAATGTCGATTGGATATATTAATTGCGATGGCGACATCGACATGGATAGACTGAAATAATTAGGTAAGCGCTAACTTAATGCCTGAGGTACTAATACTAAGCTTACTAGCTCCTAAAATTTGAGGGATTCTCATTGGATCAATTCATCCTATGAGCGTTGATCAATTTCTTGAAGGCTACCTCTACCTTATCTGGCTTCTTCGAATGGATATACAATCACAACAACACTCAACAATACTCAACATATCGAATATTGATACATCGACCACGAATAAGTCCTCTCAATAGAAATAGAGTCGAAATAATCAAGAATCAATCATCTATCTCCTCTCAACTTCGTCGCAAGCATGGCAGACCAAATTCAAGAGTTTATGGATATTCCAAGAGACTTCATCAAGGATGGTACTCAATTTATCAATAAATGCACAAAGCGTAAGACAAATTCTCAATCTTCTGATAGATGATACTTCGATGTTAATACATTACAGCTGATCGTCGCGAATTCCTCAACATCTCTCGAGCTGTCGGTGTCGGATTTCTCATCATGGGCGCTGTTGGATACATTGTAAAATTGATCCATATACCATTCAACAACATATTGGTCGGTGGCGCGTAGGTGGTGATGGACGATGATTCCCGTACTGTGGTGATGTGGTTATTTATTGCAAAGGGGGAGGGGAGTTGGGTGAGACTGAATTGGACGAGCCGGGCACGATATCAGCGTATAAATGGATGGAGTTTCACACGATCTAAGGATGTATTATAATTGGCTTTGGTGGGAAATTACTGTTCCCAGCATTGCCCGCATCTGGAAGGATTGGTCCTGCATTTGCAAAAGTGCTTGGGACTATATAAAATAATATCCGGCAGGTAGTTTGTTGTTTTTTTGGTGTGACGTGCTGCAGAATACATGATGTCTATCAATTCTTCACCGAGTAATATGACAGCACCCTCCAAATCCTTTTATTCCTCATCTCTAAAAGGCCCCACAGCATTCTCCAACTTCTTCACAAAGATTCCCTCACGAACCTCACCCTCCAAACCACCCAAAGCCCCCGTAGTCCTGAAACCCAAGAATGCCTTCACCCTCTCATTCAATCCTGCCTCGACTTCCGGTCTCAAAGACAAGAAGTTATTTTCCTGTTGCCGCACAAACGATCTCATGAAGAACATAAAAACGACTGGTCTCTCGCCCTCCGTCTCCCGATTGGGGCCTGTTGCATGCCACAATCTAGACTCGAAACAAAGCGCCGTACCAGCTGGTCCCTGCGCTGCAACTGATCCTTCCAAATCAAACACATCTTCTGGTGCAACGGCCCCGAGATGAGAACCGGGGAAAACCCTTGTACCCCCATTCTTCTCCGTAACATCTGCTAGGAACCACATGATGTTCACACCAAAGTTGATATTTCTTAAAGGTGGTTGGATAGCAACTTGATCCGTATGCAACTGCATAGGTACATTGCCTGGTCGAGCAATATTTGCCGTATAAGTATGAAGCAAAGCTTGTTCTCCAAGAAACTCGGGAACAATCTCATCAATGAGCGGATGTTCCAACATATCCACGAATTCCTGTCCCTTGTTTGTCAAAGTCCAGATTCGCTGATTAGGAGTATTAGGACCCCCGTCGTTGGCTGCAACTCCGGCTTTGGTTTCTCCTGCCGCTTGAAGCTTGACAGCGCGTTGGTATTTCGTGATTTCTTCGGGAGTAAGTGCATTCTTCACAAGTCCGTACCCAAATTCTCGCATGTCGGCCTTGACCTGTTCGAGGTCCTCAGTCGGCTGTGGTAATCTTTCGTTTCCTGTGAATTTCTTGAGTGGAGATGGGGGATTGGGTGTTAACATATCGGCGAATTTGATCGCCATCTTGATGTCACCCTGAGGTAAGTAAGCTTTGTGAAAAAATGCATCTTTGAAAAGTCCATAGCGGGGTTCAAGTCTGCCTTCGTAAAATTCGATGATGTAAATGGATTTGGTATTGACTCTACAATCTTCCTTCTCGTCCGTGCCATCCAAAAGTTTGGATATCTCTCCACGTGCGTCAATGATGATGTCTGGTTTTGATGGATTGATATTGATGACGATGAGACCTTTGAGAACGCTCATGAGAGGGAGCTTTTCTTTGATAATCGAGAGAGCTCGGTTGTGTTGTGCTTCTGATTTATCGGCATTGTATTTGGGGCCGCTTTTGCGAATTGGGAGGATAGCTTGCTCATTAGTGGTGGCGGATGGTGCCATGATGAGATGGATTAGATGTAACTTTGGAGAAGAGAGAGAATAGAGATATAAGTTATGAATTGGAGAATGTGAGGAGCTGTCGAGAATATTTGAGGGATATGTGAATCGGATTTAACCAGACGGAAACGAGATGACCCGTGGGATAACCTAGTGGAATAGGTATGCAGCTGGCGGAATGCAGCCTACTTCAAAGATTTGAGAACGCCTCTTTCATGTGGCTAAGGCTAAAGCCCCGCATTCGAAGTTTTACAATGGTGCAGCATGCTTATGCAATTGCAGAAATACTGAGGTTGATCAAGTAGTATGAACCATCATCTTTGTCGAATCTAGACATCCGAAATCCTACATCAATTGGCACCAACCTCTGTAGCCTACTCTGAGGAAATTACAGCTTCATCTTAAGTAGAATGTCACAGCTCTGGTAGTTATCATCCCATAACAACGCCTTAAACAAAGTGATGACATTGACCCCAGACTTGACATTAGATCGGCAGACACCTGAAAGCGTTGGGCAAAGGATGACTCCACACCCGAAAGATGGGTGTCGGACTGGTCCGAATCACTTCTCCACTGGCCCCACCGTTGTGGTTGTGGGCCGTTCAAGGGGGCCTGGAAAACAGGTCCCTCTGATTAAGTTTGGTATCCAATCATTGCTCTCCGAAAACTATGAATGGGATGGTCAGTATGCAGCTCTTTGCGTGGAGTGATTGGATAGAAAAAGTATATTCTCCTAGACTCAAAAATACATATACAGTTGCGAATTCCTTCTCTGGATATGGAACAATTCGTATTCATTAAAAACCACCCTTTCGCCCGGCATATCTCTTCTTACCTTTGTGAATGTTCAGGCGTATTCGCGTGATCGAGTCCCTAAGGGGACGGAACTCAACCTAGATCACTCATCACAAAATAGTTGCCGAATGGTCATCGTGTACAACCCCCCTCTCCCCTCGCCAAACTTTCCAGTGTACTCCATTCCGCCAAGTCCCTGAATCATTCTCAAAGTCCCGTGTCCAACGCCAATGCAGCCAAATTCCTATAGTTTTTCAAGATTCCTTCATCTATCAATCTCGGCCGTGGAATTGCACACTGTTTCGGTGGTCTTAGATGCGCACCACTTGCTGCTATCCCAGCGCCAATATTATTGAATTCTGGATGCTTTCCAAAGAACACGGGATCTAACTTATGTTGTGCCACTCCTTGATCCTTTGTTCAGAGCTACGAGAGTTGAGAGCGCTGATTGCTTTGAGTCGAATAGAGCAGCGACACTTGAGGCTGGCAGTGTAGCAAGAGGTATCTCTATTGTCATGCGCGCACTAATGTATGTTTGCTGAGCTTGTCCTGCAACATATTATACTCGTTTGGAAACGCCGATGAGACTATTGTTGCTGCTGTAAAAATAGATCAGACTAGATCCCCAGCACCTATACCATTTTGCAGCACCCACTCCCACAACAAACCAATCATAACACAAGAGGATGTAGTACGTTCTTGCAGGAGAAGAAGGAATGTTTCATAGAACTTTCTCATGAAATGTATGAATTATATGTATATTCTCGTGTAGACAAGGTACTATTGTATTTTCCTAGCCAATTCCTGTTCTTCAAAGCGTTTTAATTTCATTCCTGAACGCCAGACTGTCGGATATACATTACCCTTACAAGCTACCCTAATCCATCTTCCCAGATACTTTACTTTTCTGGAGCATCTGGCAACCTCTCAATAACATACTTTCCCCTAGCCACACTCATGATCGGTACACCAGGAACCTTCCTAACTCTTCTCTTCAACTCCCGATCATTCGTTGCCACAATATAGATCTTGTGCTTTTGGACTCTGTCTACAATGCAATCATCTGCATAGACACCCTTATGGTCGCATTGTAATCTTTGCCACCTCTCATCACGGGCAATTCGCAGCGCGATCCGATATCTTGGGCCAAGTTTTTCTAATTCGGCCATGACGCATGAGGTTATGATGGGAATACATTTGGCGTAGAGACAATCCATTAGAGATTCGAGAAGAGGAAGTTTGCGTTGAACAGTGTGAGAGAGGAAATTCGTATCGACGAGGATAGAGTATGGAGGGACGAGGGCTTCGTTGTATTGGAAGAAGAGGGCAGATGAGACTTGAGGTCTATTATGCGGGTCATTAGCTATAGACAACAACACAAGTGAATGGAATTGACAGGGTAGACATACGCTTCTCGAACCAATTCGGTGGGCTTATTGGCTCCTTCCTCTCCCTTATCTTTATTTTCCTTCAGACGCGCATCTCGTTGTCCAATTACTCTTTTGACCTAAGAAGAATGTCAGTATACTGGTGGGTGGGTGGACAATCGATAAGAGGTCGGGAAAATGTGTTGGGGATGATACTTACAGCACCAAATTTACGAGTTTTAACTGCTTTACCCATCGTATGAAGTCTTTTTATATGTGCGAAACCAATTAATGACTGGTTGTGTGGATTGCGACAAAATGGTATGCGACAGATTGGTGATGTGATGTTTTCGATACAAGTTACGGTTCTTCAATCGGTAATCAAGCAAAAATGATAAATTTCAAATAATTCTGCCACGTAATCTTTCACCGCTTATGGGAATCCAGCCTTTCAAGCTAGCTCGCTTACGTAATCAGCATAATCTTGGTGATAGGTAATGCACAGATGAAGTTATTAGATGAGGTCAATAGCATGAAATATGTCGAGTCCAGAATCGGCCAGTCTCTTGTCCATATATTGTTAATCGTGAAATGATATCTAAAGGAAGATAGCCAGCGGAGCGTCATGAAGTACACATAGATTTCGGCAGTGAACAGGAATCGTAAAACGGGCCTTCGCGATCGATTCAATTACCGGTATTATTTTTAATACCGGCTCACCGACTCCCGAATATCCCCCGATAAAAAGCCCCACCAAGACTTGCCAATCAAGCCCAATCCTACCAAAATTACCCTATATATATTTATAAACGCACTTTCATCTTCGACTGTAACGGTCATAAGGTTAAGGCGAGCTCACGTTCCCAGATCCTTCACTCCAAAAGTATCAAACTAACGATTTATCGAGAGTTTGAAGCTACCAACAGTGCCCAGTCCGAACATTACGGTGATAGCCCACTCGTGTAGGAAACTCACGATGCTGCGGTTGTCTTAAGCAATGAAGATAATTTCTTGAGGGAGGCCTCACTCTGCAGAGAGATCTTCGCCGTGATGTGGCGGTATTGGATTACATTCGTTGTGTGGTTTGGAGAGAGGATTTGGGTTGGGTTTCAACTTTTGCTGATTTTTTGTATTTTTCTTGGTATTATATACATGAAGGTAAGCTGGATTGTTGGAGGCAGGTCGGGTGTACACTGTACAAATCTATTGTTTTTGTTCTCATTGTTCTTTTGAAGCTATCGCTAGATTCGCTTAAATGGACCCACCAAGTCCAATGTCCTGGATACAATATGTACACGCTTTAATATGATGGCACTCATGCTTAAGTGGGCCGACATTATATTACGCTTGGAACTCATTTTACGCTCTAAATGAAGTTTTTGTAATATTTTGTATAGTAACAACACTAAAATTATTACCAACATGCCGAATTTTGAGCATAATCAGTTACTCGATGCATATTATTGGTGCCGACGACATCCCAATGAATCTGCGAATTCCACTGCTAAAATATTCAATATAAATCCCCGTACCTTACGATCACATCTACGATAACCCCTCAATCATATACCTATCCCCCTTAATGCCTCAAAAGCTATTATCACGTCTGCGGAAGAGGATGCAGTGATTTCTTGGATTCTACAGCAATCAGAGGAATCTAATTGGGTTGATAAACAACAGGTATTTGCGGCGAGATGTACTCTTCTTCGAAATCGTCCTATTCTACAAGATATACCCTCTTGGAGTTGATTCCAAAAGTGGTTCAAAAGACATCCCGAACTCCATATACGCACTACGAAACCTATAGCATTCAAGAGGATTCAGACCCATGATATAACAGTGGTGGAGGACTGGTTTCAGGCATACGAGAAAGGACTGGAAACATATAATATCACAGCAGGTAATCTTCATTATATGGATGAATCAGAGGTTCAAATCGATTCTGAAGTGGGTAGAGAGGTGGTAGTCTCTTTTCATATCAAAGAGGTATATGAGGAGTCTCCTGAAAATCGAGAGTCTGTTACCTGTATCGAAGATATGTGTGCCGATGGTACGCATGGTGATATTACTCTCATTCTAGCTGGTAAATATCATATGGAATCTTGGTATACAGAACGCCCCCTCACCGGAACCGAGACTATAATGCTATCAGATACAGGATATATCAAGGAAGAGCTAGCAATCACTTGGATTAAGAGTTTCATCAAAAGAGTAGGAAGGGATATTATGCCAGAAGATCGAGAGATAGTACCATGGAAGTTGATGATATGGGATAATTATAAGTCCCATGTCAATGAAGAGATGGTGATTCTAGCAGAGAGATATAAGATTAAATTATGGACGTTCCCTTTACAGCTCACTCATATTCTTCAACCATTGGATTTGAAAGCGTCCAAAGTATGGAACCATTGGCATCGACAAGCTATCAAAAATTCAAGAGCTATATTCGAAACTGAATATAATATTCAATACTTCCTCCGAGACCTACCATTCATCCGGGGAAAAGCCTTAAAATCTACTACCATTAAATAAGCATGGCACGATACTGGTCTCTTTCTAGCTAATCTCGATATTATCAAAGTATCTATGACAGAGGATGATAATATTGAAGATTCGGAACCTGAACTACCACCCATTCCTCGAACTTACAACGACGCCCTTCGCCATTTTGAAATATTAGATTATAAAGTCCACACTAGTACTCTCAGTTCCCCTACTCGGAAACGATATAGCAATGTTGTGGCTGGAGTAAAATCTCTCTTATTTCAAAGAGAGTTAAACAAAAATAGATGCTAGTCACTATTAGATCAACAAAAAAAAAGGGACTATCGCTAGGGAACGGGGTATGAAACCATTACAGACAAGAGGAGAGATGCATGCGTCAGTAGCTCAAAGCAGATCAACCAATAAGAGGCTAAAAGAGAATACATTGGAGAAGAGATCTCGAAAAGTCCTGGACAAAAAGTTGAAAGATATGAAATCTGCTTTATATCGAAGGGGGGTACTTGCCCGTTCTGAACAACGTTCCCGCAATAACTAGATTACGGAGCTCCAAAGAATAAAAGCTTTAATCCCCGAAGAACTACTTGAAAGGGTTCTTGATCCCTCCTTACATCCTCTTGAAAAAATGAAGATCGACGACGTTGAGGCTACATGGTTGAAAGAAAGAGAGGAGGGTGTCAATATGGCGGCGGAGTGGGATTATTTTGATGAAAACATGGATGATTCTAATTATATCGGATTCCACGTTGACGATGAGAACGAGAATTTTGATGTGCCAGATGATGTCGACGATTAGATCTTAGGGTACATAATTTTGATATTATTCTCATATGTGTTTTTCTGTGAAATGTATATTTTCAATGGGGTTTTGAGAACCGAAGCGTAAAATGGCGTGCGCCCACCACAGCGTGAGCTTGCTCAAAAACAATGACCATAGAGGGGCCACCCACGGTTATGTAAATTGGAATGATTCGTGCGGTCTCGTGTTGATTTCCGAGCAAGCCTTTCATACATAGATTTTGGTTACTTTACCCTATGCATCCTTCCAATCACCATGGTTTTCGTACTCATGAATGGGAAAACAGGTAGTGTTCAAAGTCAACTTGGGTACATCAATGAATGAATCTTAAACAAATAGCACTAGATGCCATCAATCGGTCTAGAGATATATGCCGGCGATATCTCTTCGTGGAATCCGGAAAGCCACTATCTATACAACATTCAACGGAGGCTCTTATCACGAAAATTCATCATTCATCATTCATCATTCATCTGCTAACGGCGACATTGCCAATCAATCTTTCTGAGGTCTAGTACCGAAATCGGAATAATTTCATACGGTTCCAATCAGCACGTCCGCCAAGATCCAACAACCATAATCTCAACCATGAACTCCCCGCCATGACCATAGCCTCACGAAGAAGTCGTGCTATGCATACTCTTCCTATCGGGTCTCGCATCCGGCCTAAGAGCCCTCTCCATACTATAATAGTCCGCCTCCTCCATCAACCCCAAACTCACCAAGAGCATCGACAATCCAAAATCCTCCACATCATCCTCTACATGATCCACCAAGAATTTCCGAAAGTCTCCCTTCTCCTCATCGGTTGCAGATGCCGTCTGCCGCGCAACATCGACGAGACGACACCAGATGTTGAGCCAACGCTCTATTCTCTCCGGTGATGTGGTAGCGGCGTGGTGTCGAAACTCAATCGTGTGCTTAAAGGGGTCTGGGTAGGGTTCGTTAAGAAATTGGATATTGTATCCAAGTCTAACATCTTCATCCGATCTGAACATCTGGACCATTTCCGCCTTTGATGTGGCATCAAATATTGCGGCTAAGGAATCTTTTACCGAGCGAGCAGGAGCTATAGTGAAAGGTAGGTTTCTTCGTATCCTATCCTTGATCCTATTACTTTTCCAGCTTCGATCACTGCAGCTGAAATTCTTTCCTGGTTCGAAATTTTGGTTGATATTTGCATGATCGCGAAGTGAGTATGTTGAGGGGTTGTGGTAGATTCGATGCAAAGGATGAATTTGCTCGAGTTGTCGTTCGAACGTGAATATCAGACCCATTAAGTTCTTCAAGATATCAAGACTGAATTCCTTTTTTCCAGTCCCAACATGGACATGCAGACCACAAGATTCATTGCAATTCAGCCGGTATTTATTTCTGAGGATGCGGAGAACAGACCATACATGACGGATATTCCATGGGCTAAACATGAGTCCTGGTGTACATATTTCGACCTTGTACCAGTTGTAACTATTAACTCCGGTGGACGGGAATTGAATCGTGTCATCGTGTTTGACCATCCATTGTACATCGCTTGGGTCCGGCTCTGTGTCCAAATCGCCATTTTTCCAAGCTATACGGTCTCGTTCCAGCTGCATTTGAGATGAAGCTCGATGTCTCTCGGTTCTTAATGTATTCACAATGTGCAATTGAACATTTAGTTGGCGTTCGATATCTGTGAGAGTGTGAGGATCTCGTTCGGGGGTATCAAGAGGAACGTCGATCGAGTAAATCTGACGACCTTGTTCCGGGTCTGGGTCTTTGGTTCCTAATGAGAGAGTCGCGAGGGCGAATTCAAATTCGATTCCAAAACCAAGGCGTTCATCCCATTGAACCTTCTTGAGCTCAAAGTTTAACATACTTCCTGTACTATTTCTTTTCCTCAGAGGAAGGTGATGGGTTCTTCATATGGTAATTGTTATATTATTGTTGAGCAGCAATAAAACATGTTCTTTGTTTTCGGAAGCTTTCTCCCAATCTCTTGATTGGACAATTGTGTGAGACGCTGAAAGAAATCACTTGGTTGAGTCTAAATGACAAAGATCAGTTGCGTTGTTTGTACTTACTCATTCATACACTTCATCACATCAATGAAATGAAGAATCTCGAGACTGCTATCGTCCATGTATCAAATTCGGAGAAAATGATTGGCTGACTGCTCAGATTTCCCCACGAGACAAAAACACGAGCTGCAGTTCTGGAACAATTGAGGTGCTACCAGACAAAGAAAGAAAATATAGAATGGAATAGGCACATTGACTGACATCAACACTGACACAAACTAGACAAGTGATGATTCTGGTTCACTCATGCGGTAACTGGTTTACCTCCAATACTAGGAGGTGGTGGTCTCCTGTCCTCAACCTCTCCAATTCTCTTCTTGGGTAGCACATCCTTTGCCCTCCTTATCCTGTCGCTGACTACGTTTTCCTCAGCCTCCCATCGTCCACTACTCTCTACCTTTCCTCCAAATCCTAACCATCCACTCTTAGCACTCTCTCCATTAACCTTCTTCAGCCTCTCTTCTTCCGCTAGCTTACCAACCATCTTTTGCCAATTACCTAATCCGACTTCTAGGCATGACTTGCAGACCTTCTTCGATTCCTTATCCAATCCTCTTCTGTTCCTTAATTCTACCTCTGATACATCAACTGCTTCTCTTGTCCATGCTAGACCGTCGTCTTTGCTTTTTGGGCCGGCATTAGAGGTGTAAAGGATTTCTCCGATATACGTCATTAGAATCGCTTCTTCGCAGAGTTCTTTAGGATTACGAAACGGCGGGGATGTTCCATCGGAGGGAGTGGGTGGGTAGGGAGGTGGTGAGAGGGTTTCTGCGAGAAACTTCCATAAAGATTTCCACATTGGGGGTTCTTCGTCCTCCGTGATAAGGGTATCAATCATAGATTGCTGCGGAGCAGGAAGATTCTTCCTCGCCCGGAGAATCGAAAGAAAGATGGGGAGAGATTTCGAGATGTTAGAGTTTGTCGCGTGGTGGATGGCAAGTGCTGTGCTTGTATTTAACAGATTTTCGGATGGTGGGTCTGCATTAATGTTCAATGTGTGGGTATCAAGATCGATCAATGAAGATGAGGAGTTAGAGGGGGTTGAAATGTCGATGGCCCATTTGTACATTTCCATGGCAGCTTCTGGAGTTTTCTTAAAATCCAACCAAGCAGCAAATGCCAACGCTGCATCTACTCTTTGCTTTTCCGTGAATCCTTGCGTGGTGAGGATGCGCATATAGAATTTTTCCGGTGGATCGTATGCCTTTTCACAGTCTTCTTCTCTCGGTGGAGGAGGTGAACCAACTTTGATTGGTTTGGGTTTTGGATTCGATGGACCCCGCATCTGGTTTCTAGGAAACCATATGTCTCTTGTCGTATCGTTGACCCAATCGTCCAGATGTTCCGCTGTATTCGCTGCTCCCATCAATACCCCATAGTATCCTCTCCTCCACTCCTCAGACTTCTTGGTGATATCAAAGCCAGCTTTGCCTACCCCAGCAACCACAATTCCTCCCTCGTCTTGTTCTTCTATATCCTTTCCATCAAGCTTCGGATCTTCTAGCCTCTCCAAAAGCTCTTGATACCCTATCCCCAAATTCTGCCAGTTGGCCGGAAGTGACATCTCGAGTCCCTCTTCCCCTTCCTCGTTGTCCATGGTCATCCTATAAATAACCCTCGTCCTCCATCTCCATTCTCCCGGACTGGGGAATTGATGATTGAGCCATTCTTGATGGATTCCCCATACCACAAACAGCATCAGATTAATACCAACATAAATAAATATTATATATTTCCCAGCTTTGATGAATTCGGATTTGAGCCATTTTTTGGTTTCAGTGGAAATGTATCGCGCGACTTGAGGTTTGCGATGAGTGGAGGAGAGGTAGGGGAATTGAGGACGAGGGGTTGGTCGGCGAAAGGTTGTATGGGTGAGAGATTGGGAAAAGCCCGGGTTGAGACTTTGTGTGAAGAAACGTGGGGATGGAGAATTGGGTGGGCGAAAGGGTCGGAGATGAGGTATTCTGCAAATTGGAAGACGAGGACGCATAGTAATATGAAAGGTTTCGTTGGGTTTGTTAATATTACAGTACCTAGACAATCTATATGTTGGAGTGAACTTTCAGGCCTCGGTCGCAAAGTTTTTCCAGCCGTGTAATAATACAAGTATCAATAACGCACCACCGAGATCTTTCATGGGAACGGGAACATAAAAAATTGAGAAAAGAGAAGATTCATCAATGAATTTATAAATTGTCTCTGATATTGATATTGATATTGGTATTGAAGTATGGGGTAGATTCATTCCTCAAAAGGTTTAGTTGTACCGGTAGGCTAACACATTGATAATATAATTGATGATTGGTTTCATGGATTTACTTCAGTAATTCGAGATTAACCATCTACAACCACAGCCGCTACATGATTCATTCTCCCCCTTCTTCATATTTGATCACACGAGTATTCATTCATTGATCATCTATACGTATGTATAACTTATAATTTATTGCGTTTTGGATATGAGATGTCAACTGAGCCATCTCCCGCCAATGAATTCCTCACTTTATTAACTGCATGCAATCAATCACACCACACCCATTGTTCAATTCTTCCAAATACACTCTGCAATAAATTTCATGCTTAAGTTGCCCCCGTTTGCAATTGGGTATCACTGTCCCTCGACCTATTTCTCGCCACCTTCCCCATCCTCTAACTTAAGCTCAATACCATCCCCTCTTTCCTCATCGCCAAATCCCTCATCTCCAAATCCCATGTCCTCATAGTCCGCATCATCATCAGTCAGTCTCACAAACGTTGGATTTACGTAATCTCCACCCTGACTATCACAATTCGCAACCTCCTGGAAGAAGTCAATCACCGTATGATAACCTTTGGGCAAGAGACATTCGGTATAATAACTCTCACTTAAGCTGAAAACCGGACTTCCAAATGCGGCAAAAGTTCGACTACCTTCAGGGCCTACAAGGTAGGTACCCACGGGCTCGGGAGAGGTAGTGTACACACGACCACGAGCCTGTAACCATTCGAGGAAAAGAGGATTCTTGCAATCAATGGAATGCCACCATGTAGCTAAAGCTGCGAATGCTTGAATGCGAGGTCCCCATTTTTTCCAATTTTCCAGCTTGTCCAAGAATCGAGATACGCCCATGGCACCTTCAGAAACACCAATTATGTCGACTTTTGCCGTCTTTGACATAAGATCTTCAATGACATGGTTAAAAATATAATCAATATGTTCATCCGTGTCGCGATTTCCGGGAACAGTGTTTTTGATAGGATCAAGGCGAATGGCTTTCTCGACACAACTATTTTGAGGCAATGCGGACCAGGTCGTTAAGGTGACGGCTTTTTGGCCGCGACGATACCAAAACAGTTGACCCATATTGGCGAGGATGATGGCTGGTGGCTCTGATTCAGTTGGAGATTGGCCCTTCTCTTGAATATACTTGACCATATTGACGGCAGAACCCGCGTCGATTCCACCTGCCCCACCTAATATACGATGAGCAAAAACTCCAAGATCGTCTTTAGGTTCGTAGAATAGCACGATAACTCGAGAAGCCGTGGAAATGTTGGATGATGTTAGGATATGGATGTGGGGGGAAGTTTTGGGAACATTGAGAGGCAGGAGGATCTGTTTCAGGCCAAGATTGAGAAGCCGTTCCGTCACTACATCGCGGATGGCCTCTGACTTTCATGTTAGTTTCATAGAAATATTGTTGGTGGGAAGAGGCAACAAACGATTCATAGCTTCGCGATGAAGTTGGTTGTAACGTTCATTCTTGGTCAGGAAGAATTTGAAGTAAGCCTTTGGATTCTCAATAGAGCGGATTTCATCTTTCTCGTTGATAAAGTATCTAAGTATCAGTTAGAAATCAAATCTTCGCAAGATTGAATAATAAACAGAAAGGCCATAAATGATTACGTACCCAAGCCCATCTAGAGTAGGTTCAAACTTAGGATCTTTGGGAAGACCTGAGGGAAGTCGACGAAACATGTTGATTTATGATGAAGAACAGTTGGGTTGAGTTAAAGGTTGGATCAAGTCAAGTTCAGTTGAGGAAGTGGTTTTGGGAAGAAATTCAGAAGAAGTCGCGAGGGGAAGGGGAGGGGAGGGGAAAAGAGGAGGGGTCGTGGAGTGAAGTTCGACCTGGCGAGTGAAGCCAAAGTTTAATAATACTGAAGATGAGAAATTGAAGGTGTAGGAGTGGATTTTGTAAATTGCAAATCAATTTTGAAGAAGAGAAGCATCCAACTTTGAAGTTTCGTCTTATCTCTATACCATCTTGATTGTGATTGTGATTGTGTGGTGGTCTGTTTGTGTTTGTGATAGAAACGACGGAAGTGAAGTTTTTCTGCAAGGCTATGAAAAGAATCGTTTATTTCGGGAAACCGCAAGCTGAGAATTGAAAAGTATACCTAGGTACTTCAAAGACGTTGGAAATAATAAATCTCCATACGACAACAACTATCAGAATCATTTAAGCTTCAGTCTTTGCATATGTAGATATTTTGTGTCTCGTATACTGAGGTTTGAGGTTCAGGTTACCTACAACCTGGCAAGGGCAAGATGTTTTGCATCTCGTTAGAGATTTGGCCGACAAAATCTCTATTCAGAGATGCGCAAAGCTTCGAATACAACATGATGTCTCTAAATAGAACAGAGGGAGCAGTTCTGTCCCTCATTCATTTCTTCTAGCCCCCGCCCGTCCCCCCTCCCGCCAACTCTTGTATCTTGTATAAGTATATGCGGTACGGAGCAGATTTCGTTCCCAAACCTGCAAATGTTACACATCAAGCGCCTGAGTATTTATACAATCGTACAGTCGTAATTGGACTCGCAGCATCTGGTTTATTCGACAATTGCTCGCGGGTCCATTCCTTCTTCCTTTCACCTCATCCCCATTCAGCCATGACATCCACGCTTTACCAACTAGCTTTCTTGACACCTGGCAAATCACCCGATAGGGCATTCATTCTGAAGTTGAACTATAACCGTAGATATGATCAGCAGAGCCCTCATGTTAATATTTAACTTATTCGTTTCACAGCACTTACCCTCGACATCTTGAAATCCCTCAAAATACCTCTTCCCTTGCCTCCCAAAATACATCTATTCCTGATCTGAGTTGATCTTGTATAACAATGCATTGATGTCAATTCCAGTTGTGCTTGCGCGCGAGTACGCGCAGGAAGTGAGAGGTTGCGGATTATGTAGCGAAGGGCTTGTCTGTTTGTGCGAAGGATAGTACATTAGCCATTGAGATACCAGTGTTGACAGAGATGGTTTTAAATAGGAAACTAGAATGAGAAAGAGAGAACGTACCTTTCAGTCTCATTCTCAGCAAACACTTGTCGCTTGGTATGATCGCGAATGATTTTGATATTAATGAAGCATCCTAAGTCGAGCTTCTTGGATCGGAACATAGACATATTTGTGACGGCGGGGGTTGTATTCGGAGTGTTTATTGAAATTGATGTTGAAGGATAGTATAGCATGAATTCCGCGAATCAGAGGAAATTATGATGCCTTATATTTAAGGTTAGTATATGAGAATACAACTTGAGAAAGCAATGAAGCACTTGAAGCTATTGATCCGTGCTAACATCAATATCATATCTACTCAAAATCTAACAAGCTTTGCCATGGAAGACAGCAGTACATTTTACAAGCCCTCTAAGGAAAGAGTTCAAATGCTACTTGCAAAAAAAGAGGTCAAATACAGTTTGGTCCGAGGTCAAAATTGGTATATTCACAGGAGATCAATGTGTTTATTGAGGGATGAGAATACCAGACAAGATTACCCGCATTATGGTACAGTTGCCGGTTTTATATTCGGTGAATGATGTTGCCATAGTATTGTTTCACCAATGGTTGATAGTTCAGCAATGTCACTATCGCAGATAAATTCCCAAGTATAGTCGACATCAAACAAATCAAGCTGCGATGTGACGATTGGATGGTTTCGAGGCGTTATTGGGATTCAGATACTAGGAAGAAGAGTTCAAGACCTCAAGTTTGCGCCGCATTTGAGCTTCCTTTGACCTTTTCTTGAACAACAAAGTATAATTTCTACCCTACGCTCAAGTAGATGTCTTGATCTCTTGATGTCTTGACAGTTGCCACCACTGGACACTTCAGATCGCTGGCGGTTCTTGTGTCTATTCCCAAATACCTTACAGTACCACCACCCTCTTGAGAGGTATATTATCAAGAGACGCAATGTTGTTAAATCCTTCAGGCGGGGGACATGATATCGAACCCTTCTTATGTAAAGTTGACCCACCACCAACTCAAATTCCATCATGATAACGTCGAACCAATACGTTTTGATGGACAGAACCATGGTGGAAATCAATTCTTGCTGATATAAGGTGTATGGCGGAGCGTCATCCAGAGTAGTCGTGGATAGCGGTAGGTGTATTCTCAACTGAAGATCACTGGTGGACAACGGATATATACATATACCTTCCGCTTGACTTGACCTCAACTCTGAAATAGAGTTACCGATACTGTACCATCTCATTGTTCCCAAAACCCCACCCCACAACACCTCCTCAGCCGTCCCGACCACTCTCGCCCCGCCTGCCATACAATTATTCCGATTTTTACCCCTCCTACCTCCTATACATACAACAATCGTACCACCTTCAGTTCCACCGTTCACCTCTTCCAATCCATGATATGTTCTTGAATAATCCCCGCCGCCTGTTGCGGACTATGCTGTCTTCCAATCGCCTCCACAAAATCCCCTTCCGGATCCATCAAATAAAAGTAAATACTATGATCGACCAAATAATCCTGACCCTTCTGAACACCTTCAGGTGTCGAAAAATAAACCCGATATTTCTTACAAACATCTTTCATTTGTTCCCAAGTCCCTGTAAGACCTATAATACTGGGATGGAATTCTGCGAGATAGGTAGCGAGTACCGCGGGAGTATCGCGAACAGGATCGCAGGTGATGAAGATAGGGAGAAGGGAAGGGGTGGAAGAGGTGCGTGTGGGTGAGTTGTTGATTAAATCGATCATTTGTGCCATTTTGTCGAGTTCTTCGGGGCAGATATCGGGACAGTGAGTGAAGCCGAAATAAACCTATGCAAATTTGACATATCAGCATTCTACTCCTCTGCAATTCTTGGTTGCCTCCTAATTATTTCTTCAATATACAATTGGAATAATGAACACACCAAACTATATTTTCCTTTCATATCCTCACTGCTAAATTGCCCTCCCTTATGATCTATCAATTCAAACGGTCCACCAACTTTCGGTCTTCCTACTCCCTTTGCTGCCTCTGCGACCCTTTTCCTCTCCATCCGTGCTTTCTCGTATCGAAAATAGAATATCAACCCTGTGCCTGATCCTAAGAATAATAATCCTGCTATCCACGAGAAAGGCTATTTCAAAAATGATACGTTAGCTCCTATGGTTTCTAAATATTATAGAAAAGAGAAAGGGAGCAAAAGAACAGGAATCTCCTTACCCCAGATCTATATCTCGACCTCTGTTCCTGTACAGTTTTATAACTTCTCCTTCCCGCCATACCCTCACTCTTACATGCCGAATCCCTCAATAAACAACCACTTTTCTGTACAGTTCTAGGAAGCCTTGCAGTGCAAATTGTAGACAATCTTTGACATGGTACTCCGAATGTTTTCGCATTATTCAATTTCGGTTTCAATTTCGAGAGGGAGGAAAAGAGATCCCTACTGTGAGATAGGATGGCTTTTGACATCGTAGCTATGGTTATACAATGTGATGTTTATGGTGATAGGAAGCAATTATGAATTGATATTTTGCTCTCTTGTTTCTTAGTCTGGAAGTGGTGTAGTGGTATGTTTGGAGGCAAAGGTTGGGTAGTGACGAGTTTTTTTTGGAGGTGACTCGTAGAGAGCATAAGTAACAATGGCGTTAGCGTGAATACCGCAAACTTCTCCACAGCTACTAGGTAATCTTACATACGAGTACACAACTACACAACTACTCATACATCAAAATACATTTTAATTAGACAAAAAGTGGTAATCTAGATATTTGAACCAAAACTACGGTATGTTAAGAACCCATCAAGCCCGAGGAGCCGTCTTACTCATATAAGTATCATGCTTGGCCGTCCTGTGAGTCAACTGTCCGCACCGTTCACAAATATGGGCCAATTGACATCTCGTCCTCTTCCTGATACAAGTACCTCGTTGCCACATTTGACACGAGACGAATGGTAACTCGACTCTTGAATCCTGCCCAGAAGTCTCCTCATTTTGATTCAGTGTTTCTTGACGAGTCGGTGAATGTATGCCTTCAGACCAATTATCTGCTACAGAACCCGAGATGTGGGAAGAATTCACATATGAATGGTGATGATCGCGACGACCCTCCCGACGAAAGTGATTAGACTCGGCTGCACCATCAGTGCGTTGCCTGTCACACTCTTCGGAAATACATCATCATTTTCGTGATAAATGCTTCTGTGCCCACCATTACATATCGAGCAAATATGTCGTAAAGTACAATTTGTGACTCTGACGGCACATCTACCGGCATTCCAGTCTGAGCAGGTTTCAATCGATGAATCAGTGTTCATGGATCGGAAATTGGGCTGATATTTATCGTGATGAAGAGAGGAATGTTGAAGATCACATTTCAGACACAAGTGTTGAAGTCCGCATGCCTTATTGCAACGGCCTTTGTAGTTGTAGATTAGGCAATACCCAGGTCGCAAGGGTGCTACTCCAGCTGAAGTCCGAGAGTTACAAGTACCCGGATGACTGAATGAGGGCTGAGAATGCAGTAGCACTGATGTGGAGGTAGTTTTTGAAGACGTTAGAGACTGGATCCCGGAATCAATGAATGGTTGTTCTGGCACACGTTCTTTAGCCTCATTATCACTGGAATCATGGTCCGGATGCATTCCAGCATGAGTAGTAGATTCTTCGTCTTCATAAGAACTTTCTTCTTCGCCAGATGAATATTCCTCAATAATCTCATTATCATCGTCATCTCCATCACTCGAGCTATGCTCTGAGCTATCTTCTTCCTCAGAAAACTCAGACGCAGAATCACCTCGCATTCATCAGCGAGACGTTTGGCCTCGTTGTATACGTATATGTAATTGTATTTGTATTGGTTAGATATTAACGATATAAAGCAGAATGTCGTCCTACAGATATTACATGTTCTCAATCTCTTACATTCGCTATTATCGCACCCCCGGTAAAATCTGTTGAAGTTACTAAAAGTTTTTGATGAATGGATGGGATTCGGGAGAGAAGCAGAAATAGGATTATTAGGGATGAAAGGACTAACCCTGGAGGTATCAACGCCACGACCATAACTCGACATTATCGAGCCAGAGGTAATATGATTCGGATCGTTGCTCATGGTGGTAACCTGGCCGTTGGTATGATTGAAGAGGGCTGATGTCTTTTGCTTGATCTTGATCTTGGTTGAAAGGTCCTCGTTGCGAATCCCGAGTGCAGCATGCAGTCGTAGTTGTTGCTGTATCCCTCGAGTAAGACCTGTAGGCTCACATGGTCTATCTCGTGAAGCATTCCCACCAATTATCACAAACGGTCGCTTTCTACTCGAAGTGTCTTCATCGTTGGGCTCAAGAGGTCGTTTCCTTGTAATTGAGACGACTGTCTCTTTGCTTTCAAGTATTGGACTTCCACGCATTGGCCTTGTTCCAACGATAGGTGTGCTCGTAGATCTATCCAGATCCTGCTCTTCTTCGCCATTCTCTTTCTTGATCTTCTTCGTGCCCGCAATTGTTTTTTTGCTGAGACTTTTCTTGTGTCAAGATGAGGAGGTCGCCCTCGTCGCCTCCCTCGCCCATCGCATCTGGACTACCACTGACACTGATACTTCCTTGCACAAACTCTTCTATCCTATCGCCCATTCGACCAAGCCGGCTCTGTCTGATGCCGATTATATCTGTTTGCTCGGAGTGTGCACCACTCTGCGAGGATCCAGAAGATCCGAGGAAGGTCAAGCGCTGACAAGTTTCACCCGTCGCATGTTTATGAAAATCACAAGGGCCAAGTCCACTTTCACTGGAGGGAACTCGGTAATCGCTCGTCGCATTCGAGATATTCGATTCAAACCTCAATTGGGTCTTCATAACATCGTAAAGAATGTCCGCTTTATCCTTGAAACCCTGAAGACGCTTCAATTTCTGACTACCAGGAGAACTTGGGCGACCAAAATACCACGCCGCGCTCAGAGCACAATAAAATCTTAAAGAGCTTTTCCTCGTAGTATTTTTGTATACTTCCGGAATATGCTTATAGATTTCTCGATCAAATCGACAATCATGAGCCTGAATCGCATCCATGGTTTTGTCCATTAGATCAATGATCTCGAATCGTTCGGCCAAATAATACAATTTTCGCATTTGTCGACCATAGTAAGTAGATTCGGGACCATCTTCATTGGGACAGGCTGGAACATACCCTTTGTACAGGTATGTGACGAGAATAGAAAATGCGTTTTCGAATCGTGGCTCACAGTGGAATTGATATTTGCCTTAGTACTTTCATATGGTTTTCGAAGGCCGTGGAACGACTGGAGAGAAGCTTTTTATGGAAGGCGACTTCTTTCTTTTGCTTTCCAACCTGGACAGTAACAAACTCTGTTCCCAAAGCCCTAAAAGGAGAGAGATTACGAATTAGGAATTGTAATCAATTTACGATAGGAGTACTTTACTTTTCATCCAAAGGCCAATCGTCTTTTGCATTTTGAGAAGCCATTATGATGTTATATTCAGTAGTTGAAAGGGGGGAGGGGAGGGGGGGGGGGGGAAGGGGGAGTTTTCAGAACCTTGAGTTTAAGAAGCAGATGAGATTTCGCTGTTGGACATGAAATGGAAAACATCGGTAATGAGGAAGTGCGGGTTGAGACTGTGAACGAACGATTATCCATCCCTTCACTCAGTTTCACCAACGCGTCGACTCGAAGAGAGACGGGTAAAGCACAGACTTGAAAGCTAGATGTGTTATTGTCTTGATTGTCTATTCTATCACATCTCAAATCTGTTGATGGCTTCACAAGTATTGATGGCTTGATGTAGTGAACGGGAAACTGGAAGATAGCTGGTTCAAGGGGGGTGGGAAGATGGAAAAATGGATGATCACAATCACAATCACAATCACAATCACAATCAGTGCCACAGAGAAACTAAGAACATTGGGGGGATTGTACGAACGTAAATATGACAATGGCGTCGTAGTTGTGATGAAAATGAGAAATGAAGTTGTATCCCTTACTTGGGCTCTACGGTGGCCAACATCACAGGTCACAGTCCATGGTCACAGTCATGGTCACCGTAGACTACGAACAACCCCATAATCTACTGTGTATCTGTGTATGAATATTGTCTATGATACTTATTGCTCAATCTATCATCAGCCAATTCTCCTTAACAATCGCGATGATACTTGAATCCTTCTCTTCCTTTCACCATATCTCATTCTACCTACTCACAACATCCTATGTACTCACAACATCGCCAACCAATTAATAATCATCATCCCCTTTACTAGATTTCCCCTCAAATCCATATGTACCCCATCATATTTCCTCGCTTGGATACTCATATTCCAAGTCCCCAAATGTTCCAATCCCCTCTTTCTTGCCTCAATTCCCACCGCCTCTTCATATAACATCAATGCTTTGTTTCCTTGACTCACAATCCATTCATCCGTCTTCTCTTTACCTGCCGCGTTCGGAGTCACGAAGAGACCTTTCCATTTTTCTCGACCGATGGTAGAGTCGATGAGCGTAACGAGAGAATCAAGCCATTGGATTGTTTTGGGAAGGTCCAGATCAGACCAGAGACCATGACCGAAGACTACAGCTATGGGCTTGGACACAGGGCGAACGAGTAGGCTTGCGCGGAGGCGAGCGATTTCGTCTTCGGGTATGTTGTGATGGACAATTTCTTCCACTGTTATAAACCTTAGTTGCAGGGAATTTATCCAAGGGGACGGAGTACTCACTCATAACGTTGATGGAATTCGAACAAGATATGCTTCCTGGATCATGAGCCTCCACATCTGAAGTCTTATATATGCCTTGCACCGAGCAAGCTTTGACATCAAACTGTTCATTACAAAAGCACTCCTTCCTAGAATTCAATAAGTACGTTGATCCTCAAACCACTTCGAAAGTTCAACCGGGCAAGATCTTACTTTTCTTGCATGTTGAAATTCCAATCCGTCACAGCCCCATATCCAATATCTTTCCTCAAAAAGATATTGAAGCTTCCTGTAACATGTCTCAACATACTATCCCCAACCACCATCACCTTTTCAAATCTCCCAAAAATTTCGCATATCTCCTCCGATGTAAACCAGCGCAAGTCGCAATCTCGAGGCATATATGGTGCATCAAATCCAATGCGACCGCCAGATGTCATGGCAGCGAGCATGGATTGTCGATCTGTGCATAATGGACTAAAAGGGGCATGAAGGTCTAGGGAGGAAATGTTGCAAGTGTTTCGGAATTTATAATCTGCGAATGTATCGATGGAGTCTGGAATTCGATATGAATTAGTTTCCGGGGGTTGAAAGGCAACGGCAGGAATAATGGTAGTGTTGTCGTGATTGAGGGGTTTTGAATAAGACTATGGGAAATTAGCTTTGACTCTAAACCCATAGAGCGAGCGAAAACCTCTGTGGCCGGGACTTTGGGCAATCGCCCGTGAAACAAAAACAGACAGCCACAAATGATTATTGCAATTCCAACTCTCGTGGGCGTCACTCGAATTCCAGAGAAGCGTGAGTGACGGGTCGCTCGAGCCCACCTATATGGAAGGTTGGGTGAAGTGACGGGGGTCGTGAATGGATCTTCTTTTTGCCACATTTTGATTGTTAGAGGCAATGACTGAGAAGTGAATGAATCATGAAGAAGATGGTTTGTATGGCGATGACAAGTTTTGGAAGATTTGTGTACTGGTGGAGTGGATTGGAGTGAAGTGGAGTCAGTTTAGATATGAATCGGGAGGAGATGACGTTTTGACTTAAAACGCGTAGAGAGAGCAACCGAAACTCGTGTGAGATGAAATGTATCGGATCATGTTGAAAGTTGTGGTCAAAGGAGATGGAAGGAGAGACCGCACTTGAGTTCTTTCCTTCCATACATTTGATCGTGTGACTGGCAGCATGACAACTCCATTGAAAAGGCCATTGCTTATTACACAACTCTTGAGTACTCCTCGGTCGAAAAGAGAGGCTTCCCATGAATGCCAAAGAAAAAGATTTGGCCATCAGCTTCAACAAGGTTGAAACTTGATATGATCGTTACATTCTAAATCTACGGTAACGAATACTCTAATGTATTATCATCTACCTAACATTGAGCGTATGGGGTACATCAACGCTTTTACAACGTCAAATGCCCATCCTCTCCATCCTCTGATCATCTCAACGGTATTGACCAGCCTGACAAATCTTGCGCTGAAAACCTCGAGTTCGCTGAAGTCATCGGCATAAGCCTCCCATACGGCCGTTTCGTGGCCTTCTTTTGATGTTTCTGGCAATAAATCGAAATCCCCATCAACTCGAACCTTTGGACCGATAACCAAAGCTCTACCGACTATTCTTGTATCGGCCATGAGTCTGGTGCCAGCATCTACAACATCTTCAGGTTTGCCCATCGCTCCACCCGCCAACAGTAATCTACCTGCTGTAGATATCAAAGGTGTATCGATGAAATAGGGACATAACATGTTGACTCGGATACCCTTGACGAAGCTTGTAGATCTTAATGACCGGAATAACCCTAAAACTCCATGTTTTGAGGTTGCGTATAGAATCTGTCCAGGAATCGGAGCGATAGAGGCTACGGATCCGATCAGGAGTAAATGTCTATCGGGAGTATTTGGACCAGGGTTTGCAGATAAATTGACCTTTTGTGATCTAGGATTTCGAGGAAGATACCACATTGCCAAATGTGCAGTGTACAGAACCCCAAGCAGATCGACCTCAAAAGCTTTGAAGTTTGGCTTGGGTGGTTCTGGTAGATCTAGGTTCAGAGGTTCCTGGAAGCTCATGGCAACATCTGCAATCCCCGCATTTGCAACCACAGCATCAATGCCCTTGGAAGGACTCAGCTCCACAGCTGTACGAAAAAAGTCGACTTGTGATTGCCAGTTCGTAACATCGCAATGCAAATAATGATGGTTTTGACTGCCAGTCTTCTTGCGTATTTCATCCACCAATGCTTTGCCCCTTGTACTGTTGACGTCTCCAATTATTACGTTTGCTCCATTCTCTGCCCATTTTCTAAAGAACCCTTCGCCGAATCCAGATGCTCCACCCGTTATAACAATTGTTTTTCCTGCTACCCAACCGGCATCGTATGGACTTGTGGTATCGACTGGAGATGATTGTCGGACGACATCAACGACATTGTTTCGAGCTGAGTTGGAGGTGGTCATTTCGTGAGACAAACTGTGCGATGTTCGAGAAGACGGGGTAATCGTGGCCTGGTGGAGATGCTCAATGTTTCATAAGAATGATCTACAAATCCACGTACTAAGTGCAGGCAGATACTAGTAAATCCAATAATGTACGGGGCACAGACGAGGGACGAGGCTGGCACGGTTGAATCTGAGTGGATATTGCTTGAGTAGAGACGAGGATGGGGACGGGGACGTGGACGGGGGGAAACTTATTTAGATGAGAAGAGAAGAGAAAAGAGACAGAAAATACCATGTTTTATACTTAACACTTTCATGCCGATTTTCATTACTCGAGTACGTACCGGTACTTGTATCCGTGGTGAAAGAGAGTTGAGAACAAGACGAGATCGGAAAACCGAGGCAGCCAAGGATTGTGGGGCTTCAACAAAGTGGGGAAGGGAATCATCGAAACATTACGGAGTACATACCGGTATATCAACCGAGGTAATGAAGGGAGATAGAGATTGATGGGGGAAGTGAATCGGAGTGGAAGACGACGGCGGGAATCGGAACGATTGAGGAGATGGGATAGTTACTGATAGGGAGGAACTAGATTTTACGGTTGAAAGGGTAGAGTAGGTAGTATCGGTCACCGGTCACAGCATTTTATTTGGATATACTGGTAATACTTGTTGGCCTTCATGTGTGTGTTTCGATTTTATACTGCACTGTTGGTTTCATCATTTTTATTTATTTATAAAAAACCCCCCGAATCAATAAATCGCAACGCCGAGGGATAAGTAAAGGGCAAAGGGACTCTGGCGTCCCGAGAGCTGGAGACTTGCATCAGTACTTAGATGTCAGGTCGGAATCGAATATTTCTCTAAATTCGAGAGGGAAAGAAAATGTAGTTTTGGAGTGTCACTAGGTCATGTATCTAAGGTATCGTCTCCTTATCGATCAAGTCAAGTGTTGCTGGCTTTGACATATCCTAGTCTGCCTCCCCGTCGAAACCATGTTCGTCTTTCTTGCTTTGATAATAGCTCATCGCCGCATCTCTGACCTTGGTCCAGTCAGTCACGGCTGTCCCCAACGATTTCCCATCGTCCTGTAGCAACTCTAGAGCACCCTTCACCCACGCGACACAATTCCAATATGGAACACCTTGCTTGATCGGGATATTGCGTAGTCTCAACGAGTCGATCTCGATCTGTGATTTTTCCGATCATGACGCGGACCAACAACATTTGTGTTGCTTGCAGAGATACGCAAATTCCCTCAAATTTCCAAGTCGAACCACTAACAGTCATAAATTCTTTGGCATGAAATCGCATACCAGTCCCATCCTTAACCTCCACTTTAGGTTCAACTAGTAATGCCCAGTGATATCTTCTCGCCAAAGCTTGTCAGTCTTCAAATCCCGAAAGAATCTTTTACACAGGGAACAGGGAGGCTGTGAGGTTTGCATCAGAAGAAGATGGAAGTAGATACTTACGTATCTTCCTTGCCAGGCATAATAGCTTTACCACCACGCGCATAGAGTGCAATATAAAGACGATCCTTGTTAGAAGGCATTGGCACTTCCAATTATTTACACAATTCAAGGTGGAAGCTGTTCGTTATTAATATTGTACTGATACTGAAAGTCTCGGTTTGTATTAGCTCGGAGAAAATAGGGAGTGGCCAAGGTGAAAACCATTAAACACTCGCAGGACCAATCATAATCTATGGATATCATGAGATAAGTTGGTACAATTTTCTTCCCCGCATCTCAGTAATCGAATGGCGAGAGGCAACCAACTACTCCGTACGTATTTCACCAGGTTGTTGTTGGTTTTGGTAATGTCGATCTTGGCTCAGCAATCCCCAAAGTATCTTTGCCGAATCTCCTCCATAGCTTGCGCGGTGGGTATTGGATCCAAGAATTTGTCAATCTCTTCCTTCCAAAACATGTTTCGCGGATTGACGTACATCGCTGTCGTATACTCCCAATAGGAGGGATACAACCAGCGGTTTCCCAATCAACGATCCCCACCACTTTGTCACCGTCTGCGAGAATATTGAGACTGCTCAGATCGCCATGTGTAAAGACAGGTGGTGCAGGCCAAGGGCCATCGTGCCAGTCTATGAGCTCATTGACTCCCTCCGGATATTTTGATGAATGTTCATGCAGTCCTCCTCGTAGGTACCGGTGAAACTCATTGGTATTTTCGAAAGGCCCGAATTGCATTGGTCCCATGATTCTTCCGTCGAGAAGAATTCCACCATCAACGTTGGCAATTCTTGATGTTGTCGGAACCAATCTGCGCATCTCCGCAATCATATCTCGAAGTTGGGAATGAATTCGTGCTTTAGATTCAGGCGTCCGGTAGACCCATCCACGTCCCATGTAATCCCCACGTATCATTTCCATGACAATGTATGTGCGACCCTTGTGGACGAAAGAACAGTATGTTTTGGGCACTGGAATAGAGGTGTGCTCCCCAATGAATTTCATAGCTGATGCTTCTGCTAAAGTCTTGAGCTGCCCGTATTTCACGCAAATCCCACTAGATATATTGAGGACACCATTATTACGACGGAAGTGTTTGACGATCTTGATTGAAGCAAGTACCAGGAACCGGCGAAAACGGGTATTATTGACAGGTTTTGATAGTGATAACGCAGCAGCAGATTCGAGCTTCCGCTCGTTAGTTTGGTCGGTTAGATCTGACATGATTCGCAGATGGGCTGGAAGGAATTGGATTTGGTTTAGCAAGGGGCAAGGCTGAGTAATCCTTATAACAAGGCTAATCAAGTTTATAAGTTGATGCCTCAGAAATGCTTACATAAATCATACAATACTCCGTCCGTCTTGACAAAGTTAATGTTGAGTTGTCAATTAATTCTTCCTTATATACTGTGAGATCTGCAAGGCAATGCCATATATTTCCTTCGCTGTGCAAAATTCCAAGCTTGTCATGTCGGATGTACGTTGTACAAGCAGAAAACCCACACTTGGTGCTTCACCACTGCTGGGTACCGGTAACCATATCCATTCTTAGTCCTCCATACTCGAGTACTCTCAACTCGCCTTCCTTCACTCATTGCTAGCTATCACTCCTACAATTTGGCCATTTCCAGATCTCGATTGAGCAATACCCGACCGGGAGGACTCACGTGAGGTAGCAATTCAGGGGTGAGGGTGGACTAAGGAATACCAGCAGATCCTAACTCGGGAGGCTCTACGAGTAATGCACGTCTTGCTTGCCGAATATTCGCGAGTATGTCTAATCCTGCCTTTTACATCTCGACAGATGTGTTTTCGATGTTTCTCCTCCGTCCTGTGTGCTTCTACAAGTTTCCCAAACATCTTTGAATAAAGTTGCTTTTTGACACCTTGTTCAGTGGCGTGAAATGCCCCCTTAATTCATATTGCGAACTCAGGCTAAGATAAATAGGAGCTTCCTCCTCCATCCGCAAGGTACTCTGACCAACCACTGACATCGGTATAGGATTTTGGAAGTCACTGATGCCATTTACATTAAGATGAACAGGCCCGCTATCTGGCAACCTACCCAAATACGTCAGTATCAATGGAATTCAAGAACTCCTAGTGGAAGCATTACATTACTCCTTTGAGCCCAAAGCTCTATTATCGCCAATGCCGTTCCCTCAACAATAAGTTGGTGCTCCACTTCATGCATTCTCACTTCCAATTCGTCCAAGGTCTCGGAGCTCTTGCAATCTATCTCTCTCACCAGTATTGGTGTTCCTCTATCAACCTCGCTGATGACATAATGAATCATCATGCCCGTTCTGTCATGCTCCAACTTGCCCTGTTGGAAATCCGCGTATGCCCGCTTAATCGCATTCGCACCATCATATTTTCCTGGAAGCGCTGGATGAAGATTTATGATGGGAATATTTTTTGCAGCCAAGGGATCAATAAATGTTGGTGCGAGGATATGCATCCAGCCTGCACAGATGATCTAGTAACCATTAGTCTTTAATACCTTTGAAATGATGTGGATAACGAAAATGATCAACTTACGATATCAGGCTGCTCTGCAATCACGAGATCTGCGAGATCTGTATCATACTTTTCTCGTGCAGCTTGTATGATTGCGGGGTCCTTCTCATCCTTTGTGTGATACTTTCCAGCCAACAAATTGTGATATGTAGTTGGTATCGAAGCTTTTTGTGCACGAGTAAGTCCATACGCAGTCTTTCGGTTTGAAATTACTCGAATTATATTCAAATACGGTAAAGCAGTCAAGGAAGCGTCGATGAGTGCTTGAAGATTAGAACCATTGCCGGAGATCAGAATAATTGCTTTGGTTGAAGGGGGTGACATTTTGTTGGTGTTGTGTATCTTTGTAATTTTAATTGTATGAGTAGAGAAAGGTTTTGATTTTCTTACTTTGGGTTGTTTTTGTAAGGGGTGTGGGAGGGGTGATTCTTATTAGTCATCGACTAGGCTAGATTCGCACCTTTCATATTGATCCCTAACACCCATGTCTTAGTTCAACTAAAGTTGGGTAGTTTACAACTCTCTCTTTGACAACCTTGACAACGTAGGATGGGTTTGAACCTTTACTGGAATGTTCACGGGTGTGATGATTGAACTATCTAAATCTTAATACAAGATCTCAATACATCTCAGTACACTTCAATACCACTTTTAGTGCAAGAATTCCTTGTATACACAGAAATTCCTTATATGAGGTGCCCGTAGAGTATCCTGTTCCTCTCTGGGTCTCTTACTTATTGTCTTCCTCGAGGACAACGGTAGAGAGACTATTCTTCTCGCCCCAAGTCTTATCTCCCTTCCTGCCCCCCAACTCCACACTTATGTAGTTGGCATCAAATGAGATACAGAATACAAGTAACTATTCATTTTTCCTACTAGTCCATCTGCTTTATTACCTTGTTTAATCAAACTCCGTACGCTCTTCTCTTGGCTGGATATTTATAGAATCGACATGTCTTCTTCCCTTCCTTCCCTTTTGCAATGTTCTCCTCCTCGGGTCTACCCTCAACATCACTCCCATTCCCAAGATGTACTGGAAATTCATCATTGCTTTTTTCAGTGTTCGTACTCACTCGATCTTCATGTGTATCTGGGCTATCTGATCTTGACGTTGAAACCACTGAATTTACCGAATACTTTGGAGTTGAATGTTCTGCTTCTTCGTCTTCCTCCTCCTTTTCTTCTTCATATTCTTCTTCTTCTTGCTGTTGCTGTTGCTGTTGCTGTTGCTGTTGTAGTGGTGGTGCTGGTGGTGGTGCTGGAGGCGGTAGAGGCGGTGGTAAACTCAAAAGCGGTGCTGGCATCTGTCTCTCTCAATTTCCCCATATTAGTTCTATGTGGGTATTCCAGATGATAATTTACTGGCGGAGGAATAGTATTCGGACCAGGGATATATGGGAGAGCATCAAAATGTTCATATCTTCTCTCTTGCCCCATTATATTTGTTGCTTAATATGTCGAAGTTGTATCAGGTTGACCTGTCTGCCAAAGCTGTGTATTCGCCCAGTTGCGGTAGTTTGGATGAGTATGGAATGTTGTTGAAAGTATATGGAGATCGAGGAATAGCACTTAATTGATCTTCTGTCATTCCAAAAACTTGTGCGCCTGAAAGCAAAAAAAAACAAGAATTTCACTATTCAAAACCAAAAAGCTTAAGAGCGCGACGCTCTTAAACCCCAATGAACCGTCCTCGTGTATATAGTATATACTACACGGATTCGTCACTGTCCGATCGAAGCCCTGAAAATGCCAAGTAGAAAGGCGGACAACATTCTCGAGAATGATGAATTCTACCGCTGCGCCATCGAGACGTGTGGGTGCTTAATGCTTTGATGATATATTTGGGGTTATATTTGTGAGGGGGACGTAAGCGAGTTGGGTGGGCGATGGGTTTGTATCGGGTCCAGAAACGGCCGCCCAGTATCTTTTCCCCAGTACCCTTCGGGAGGTCGTGGGTAGGCTCCGCCTACCCCCCGGACGTTAATTTATTAAATAAATAAACGGCCGCCCAGCATCGGGAAGTCCCGCATCAACGGGATCTTGATCCAAAGTCGAAGAGAGTCCGATGTGTTGTGTGAGAGGTGTGAGAATTCGATTAAAGGGAAAGTTTCAACATGCTATCAATATGCAAGCGCTTCTTGAGGTATTGGAATGAATGCTAGGCAAGGTTAGCCATGTAAAATCACGCCTCCACAATCCCTCACCCAAATTGCATCACGTATTGTACAAAAACAAACCAGAGGATCCATTGTATACTATGATCTATATCAATGTCTCAGTGGGAATAGTTTCAATTCTATAAAGATTGAAGATCAGGGTTGGCATTTAGAGAGGTTACTGAAGAGACGGAATCGTCCAGCAATTCTTTTATATTAAATATTGGTACAAAAAAATTAAGATTATGTATATTTCTCCCAACAGTTTTAGCTTTTCTCATAAGGTTTTTTCGCTTTCATCATTCTCATCTACATCATAGCTTCCTAATCCAAAGTCGTGACCACCATTGTAATGCGCTTCAATTTCAGTATCTGCGTTAGAATCCGATAACTTATCGCTCCAACCCTCTGACTCAAACGGGTAATCTGCAGCATCTTTATTCCAAAAAGACTTGGACTTAAAGGTGTCTTGCTCAGCTTGTTTGATTATTTCAAAAGCTGTGTGCGCAGCAGCATAAGCTCTCTTCCTCCAAGCTAGAATGTACCTTAATGCTGCCATTTTGTCTTCTCCGAATAACACTTCCTGCTCAAGAATAACCTCGGGAGCATCCCAATTTCGAAGGCCAATTAGAGCATCAGACAAGGCGCCTAATGATTCAAGCCGAACACATGCCGGAAATCTATATGGGACCTTCGAGTTATTGATCGACTTGCCTGATGGTGTTGCTTTAGGATGTACACACGCAATGCGAGCAAGAGCAATGTCTTGAGCTGTTCCAGCACCCTCGGGAGTGTTGGGTAGCGTACTGTGATCATTATCAACCCTCGTAAGCCATGGCAACACGCATCGGCGTCTGCTCATACCAGAAAATCTCGGTTGTGCTCCATGTGGAAGTTGCGGCATTGTAATCCTCGCATCACCTTGTCGGCATGGTACAACCTCCCAACTGAGAGGGGATGATGCTAATGATTTGACACGTGTGACATGTTCGTTCTTTTTATATTTATCGGGCATCCTCTTCCACCAGTTTTCTAGCACTCCTTCCTTATGGAACCCTGGAGCAATCTTGGTACAGTTGTCGGGTGTTTCATCATCAAGGCTAATTGAGCCTTGGATCTGAGAAATTACATTGAGATTCCCGTGAATAAGCCTCTCGATGTTGTGATCAACATGCTCAAAACCCCCTGTGTACGGGTGCTCCTTGTCGAACTCGGAATATTTTGCATAGTATGGGTAAGATATCAAGCTTGTGCAGTGATCGGGTCTCAAAGCCGCATACATTGCGTAATGCACTGGATCTTGTGATGCTAGTTGTTGCACTATAGAATAATAAGCCGTTACCAGCCACCCTTTGTTTTCATTCCCAAATAGTCGCTGTCGAGTGTGGTGCTTGTACATATCGAGCTCTTCATCTACAATCCGAGCAATTCCACCATCGCGCATTGTCCACCACCATTTCAACAGCGGCATGTTGACAGATCCTTGATCATCCCAGCATTTAAGCGCAGATTCAGAATCCCAATCTTCCCCTGTGACCTCTGGAGATACCAACAACGAGATCGCTTTTGTTTTGAAATCAACGTCGAATAGGCGTTGCTCAATGCTCTTGGTAGGCCACCTTGCTTTCTGCGAAAATTTGTAATGCCCTAAATCATCTGCGGTCTTGTAAGGACGATGTAAAGACGTGAACCAATTACGCGTTTTACTCTGTGTAAGCTCAAGTACAGACTCTTCGCCGGCGAGGTTTGCTTGATGCAAAACTTTCATTCTCTCAACAACCTCAGGTTGAGTTAAGTGACTAACCTTAAGCCCAGATAAAACGGCTATGTATCGCTGGTGTCTTGCGCACACTCTATCTAAGTTGTTTGAAACGAGACCAAGCATATTGCTGATATCTTGTTTCGTGCTCTCAGTCACAGGTCGCCATTTATGGTCTCAGTATAAACGAATTAGTCTTCCGCGGAAGGGGGCTGTACATTTACATATCAATTGAGTGCCGCTTGCTTGGGTTTTTGAATAGCTTGATACCATAGAATCATTTGAAGCAGATTCTTCAGAGCCTGATCTTGGTGAGCATGATGCTGAATCTTCGATCTGATCTATGTTCATAGCCTCGGAGTGGAGTCCAGGGTAAGGATAGGCGGTTAAAATACGCGACATCGAAGACGATATGGGCGTCATGCTCCCATTTTCTTCACGCATATCTTGTTCGAGCAACCCGGTTCCTTTATTGATGCTCAAGCCCAAATTTTTGTAAATCTCTTTAGGGTATAGCCGAGGTCTCTTGATATTTAAAGCTCTTTGACAGTCCGACCCCTGGAGCCTTCTCTCTGTTCTCGATCCCCGCTTGACCGTTGAAAGTCGTACCATCAGAGCATCATTTAAGCGGTCCACAGCACTCAAAAAGTTTGGATACTTTTTAGCTACTTTGGCTAAGTGAAAAAGGAAATTGCTTGATTGCTTTGATTCCTCTACCCATGAGCATACACCTGAATGATCACCCCAAGCGGATTGAATTTATTTGATCCTCTCGTCACGACGTTGTCTAATTCGTGGTATGTTTTGTTCCAGCCCCTCGCGTATATACTGAAGTTTTGAGTTGAGAGTCTGCTCTGTATAAGTGCTCTCCCACCAACGTGCATTGTTTTTAAGTAAATTGAAGACAAAATTCATTCGTTCGAATATATCATCCTTGCTGAGATCCAGAGACTCAAGTATTGAAAAACATATGTTCGTCTTCTCCTCATTGTTTTCGATACGAGTCACACAACGGATAATCTCCTCGGGTTCGGCTATACATAATGCATCGGCTCTCCCTGGTGTGATAGCTTCTCTAAAAGAGTGGACAGACATGGCTTTTATCGGTGAAGTCGAGGAATAAGATAGCAAATGTTTAGAAGTTGGTTTCGAATGAAACCTGATTAGCAAGAAGCAAAGGAAATAATACCCTTACATTTGATCTGCGCGAGGCTTAAAGATAGGATCATCAAAGAACCGATGAAAAGACACTCGAGTAATGCCAACGGACAAATCTTCCATTCCGAAAACGGAGATTTATTCCAAAAAACTCCGCAAATATCATCATCTCCCGATAGATCTACTCATCCTTGGACTCTAATGAATTATGGAGTGACAGGGCAACTTTCTTTGTGGTTGACAAAGTATTAACCTTATATGATATAACGAGTAACAAAGTAGTTATTAGATAATAAAGTTAAGGTTAGACAGATGATTGACACCAATAAAGAAACATATCTGTCCGTATAGTCATCTACTGTACCGGAGCACCGGCGCCGTGCTAGCGAAGGGCTAGGGCAAGCCTTAGCGAAAGGGCTTCAATACACATATATTCCCCATCATGTGGAATAGTAATCAACAAGTTTTTAAAGATATCAACACTGAACACCCGTCGGGCTTTCTACCATCGTAGACCTGAAAGGTGTTCCCGTTGATACCAACACTTACCAACAATATCACTGTCATTATTACCGGTACTTGTCTTTATTATTACGAATTGATCATCGTTGTTCGATTATGTAAGTCACCGTGACAATATTTGCGAACTATATTGAGTATCATATCACGGTAATGTTGCTGAGTCAGCCAACTCTGTCATGCCACTCACCAGATACGGATTCGAATTCGAGGCAAGTGAGCCGACCAAGTCTCATGTCTCACTAGGACCACACGTCCGATTCAAATTTATTAATACCATATACATTCTAGAGGCTCTATCTTTGCAGCTTATATTTATTGTAAGGCGCAGGCAGATACGATGAGGCTGTGCTGAATCTGTGGCTCAGTGTGCTCAGCTCTTTGCGACTTTTGATTTCCTTCCCAAGTACTCTCCGTTAGATTATATAGACTCATGGAAAGAATCCCACACTGTACCTTCACCGTGGAAATGGCAACTCAACATGTTCTAGCTTCAGCTATTCAAAATACCAATCTCCTTTCTATACTTTCACGAACAGATCATGCATCCTCCGAGTACGCTCACATCACAGAATACCAATCAACCATTGAGATCATCATCTCCCAAGAAGAGCAACGAGTAAAGGCTCTGACAGCCGCAAGTGCAAAGGAACACCAAGACCACGAAGAATATCAAGACTCCACTGTCAAACGCTTAGCCTACAAATTGAGCGGGAAAAAACACCATTTTATAGAGAAGGGGGAGAAAGAACATCGAGAATGGTTAAATGCGATTCAAGATGAATTGGAAGCGAAGCGTCGCTTAAGTCATTTGAATGACACACTTCGAGACGCGAAATCAAAGGCTTCGGCGTTGAGACATTTGGTGGAAGAGCATGATGCCGCGCAAGCTGAGCTCAACGGCCTTTATAATTTCATATTCTCCGGTCCGTCACGTGATCTCATAGCTGAAGATACAAAGGAGCATCTTCTTTCTTGCGCCAAAAGTTCGTTCGATGAAGGACAATTGCGACGGAGTACCGAATCCAACGTGCTAGCGATGTTGCAGAATGCCTTAACGGTCATGAATCAGTGTTTTGCAGTCCTAGACGATGCGTTACAATCATCAAGTACGCATGCGTGGGGAATTGGTAAAGGATTTGCTGATGTGACGGAACGGTCCTCACTTGCACAAACTCAATCCCTTTCTTCTCAAGTTGAGATGTTAGTTTACCGAGCCCGACGAATGCAACCCGCGGTTCAACCACTGGGTCCAATGATTATTGCTGAAGGGGGTTTGATATCCGATGATATTCTCGATAACGTACCCTCTGCCCTCACATTTCACGACAAGATTGAGGAACTAAAAAGGCAGGTGGTAGCAGCACGAGTACGGTTGATTCAAGAGACAAAGCATAGCAGCGAACGTCTGACAAATTTTCGGGCAGTCGTTGATGAAAAGAAGAAAGTCTTGGAAACGAGAAGGAAAGAATTACAGGATGAAAGAGGGGCGGTATTTGAGAAAGTGGTCGCTAGCAGCAGATTTTTGGACGGTTCTGAGGAATCACGAAGCAATATTCAGGTGGAACATGACCAATCAGATTGGCAATCTCCTTCGCTGCAGTGGGATGGTCAGCAACATATACATTATTCTTTATTTGGTCGAGGGTATCAAGAACTACCCAATGAAACCGAACCATACCGTATCCCTCCAGCAGGGACTTATGATTTTCACCCTGTCGATGCAAACTCTCCTCAGCAGGATGTACTGATGCCTGCCCCTTCATGGTACACATGATGATATCAAAATGACTGGTGTTTGGCGAGAATAGTTTCTTTTTTAATTAATAATTGCCTCTAGCGTCTGGAATATTGAGGTTATCTACCAGATGTTATTAGTGTAGACAGTCAAAGATTGATTAGACCATATCAAGCTCGCGTTCTCGTATCAAAGCATATGTGCATACAGCTTTGGGATATCCATGATGAATTATTCAATCTAAGACTAAACATATAATACTCAAAAGCAAGTCGCGAAATACAGCCAGAATCCCAGAAAAGCACCCGCTTCTTCTTTTCCTTCGCCATCACATGATTGGGGAAAGTATAATCCCCTGTTCATCACTACAAAGACTGTTGAATTCAGAAGACGGACTTTACTCATTTCGCTTTTCAGCAGGTTCTTGCGAATACAATAATCCCCATACGGCCTAATTCCAGTTCTTGTGAGCAAACATACCACTGTTATGGCTGTTAACATTTGATGCTCCATTGACCTTATTGATTCTGACATTGTCCATCTTCTTGGTCATAACGCTCGCCTCGCTTTGCTTGATCAAAGCCTCGGTTGAAGTTTGAATGAGATTGCCAAGATCTGCGTTAACCTTGGTAAACATTGCTGTTTCAAAGTTAGTAAATTGAATACACTAAAGACTGGACTTTGTACCATAAACTGCTTGTCTAACTTGCAGCCCCTTGTTTCCAGTGACGGAGCCGAGATGGCCCGCAACGTTGCTGATAAAGTTGTCTTGTTGACCGGGCTCCTTAACCAATGTCTTCTCCCAAAATACCCTTGCCTGCACATAGTCGGCGTCGACAACCTGGCTCTCAAAGCTGACAATAGTTCCTTGGAATTGTTCCTCGTCCGGTTGTGCATATTGTGCCGCAACTCCAACATTGTAAAAAGATGATGGGAAGTAATTCTCGGTACCGCCGAGATTGCCGTTGATGGTAGCAGCTCCATCACGAATGAGAGGATTGAATGATCTGTTGTGCGGAGCATTGACAGGCAATTGAATGAAGTTAGTTCCAAGGCGATGTCTTTGAGTATCTGCATAAGCAAGAGCACGAGTCTGAATAACTGAGGGTGGTGTTAATGACATAATCAATATGAAAAGATAATTTTTGTTCCCTGGGGGGTAACAACTTACTAGGGTCGGGAGTCAGAGCCCATCCGGGTACAAGATTTGTTGGACTAAAGGCACTCTGCTCTTGTTCGGCAAAGAAGTTATCCACGTTTTTGTTCAAGGTGATTTTGCCGAATTTGCGAAGAGGGAATTCCGATAACGGGAATGTTTTAGTTGCATCGAAGATATTGATGTGATAATTCTCAGCTTTGACAGGATCAATGATTTGGGCAAAAACATTCCATGAAGGGTAAATTTCGTTCTCGATATCTTCATAGAGACTACGAGTTTGGAAATCTGGGTCAACACCGGCTTTTAGATCGGCCTCGGCTTGAGTGAAGTTTTTCACACCCTGGTTGGGCTTGAGATGGATCTTGACATATGTAAATGAACCATCTGTCTTGGTGAATTTGTAGGTGTTGATGCTGAAGATGTCGGCATGCTGGAAATCAACCGGTGTAGCCCGATCACTGAAGAGGAACATCAGGAAGTGAATGCCCTCTTGGTTATGAGTGAAGTAGCTATACAAGTCAGAATCTGTGAACATGGTAGTGAGAAGTGGAGAACATACTCCCAGAATGCTTTATGATCAGGTAAGCCACTTCGTGGGTTCTTTTTGGTAGCATGAGTGAAGGATGGGAACTTGGCTCCATCTCGAATTGGAAAGACAGGCTAACACGTGAGCTATTGGATGTCTTTAGATTGTTACAGAAGATTGACTTACCGTGCTTAGGAACAACCAATCCAAATTACCTTCCTCAGTAAACATCTTGAAAGCAAAACCGCGAGTATCGCGAACTGTCTCAGCTGAATCTGCGCGACCGGCTACTGTAGATAATCGACAGAACAGGTCGGTCTTCTTCCCAACCTTGTTGAGAAAGGCTGCAGAAGTGACGTCTGAGATATCATCTGTAACCTCAAAGTATCCATGAGCACTAGTGCCTCTGGCGTGGACGAGACTAAGCATGATCGATTCAGCGAAGTTCACGATGCCATTACTTGACGGATTCTGGAAGATTGGGAATAAGAAGTCATCTTACCGTTCTGGAATGCGTTCATGTGTAATGTGTTGAATCAATTCTAAGAGATTGATATCTTGAAGCAGGAGCGTGGCTCTTAGTTGATTGCCGATTCTTTGAGTAGCTGCTGGCTTCAAAATGGGAGCACCATTCATCGTTGTAATAGCCGGTTTCTGCATAACGCCATTACTCTGCAAGCTTCTGTCAGTTCGTGACCTATGGAATGATAGCACTTATGTTACATACTTGAGCCATGCTGTTATATTTGTTTTAGTGACAACTGTGTCTCATAAATTATCAATTAATAGGCGTATTACTCTGAGAAATAAGAGAGGGATGAAATTTGCGTTTGCGGACTTCTTTGGTAAAATACCGAAACCTTTTGTGATATTCTCGCTCGTTATATACATCGAAAGCCAGTATTCCACTCTCGTCATTCTCACTCAGTCGTATTACTGTAAATAATGATTAGGCATATGTCCCGTATACAAATTCCTCTTCACAGATACGTGACTCTTCGAACAAACGAGGCAAGTCACACAGCCAAAGGATCTTACTGTATAAGGTGGCATCTAATCCTATAAGCTTACCCCAAAAGCCTTACCGATATTACCTTGCTGGGACGGTAAGCTTACATTCATTGGGCGTTGCGAGACGGCACAGATTACCGAGAGATGAATATCTGACACAACTATGTCATACAACTTGGCTGCTTGCTACAAATCTCCGATCTCTGTCCTAAGACGGTCATATTGAACTTCGATAATTAAGTAATGCTTGAAAGGATTGGCTGCGCAATTGCCTATAATCTCACCATGATGAGAATTCAGGAGTTCACCCAGCCACGAACAGGAACATTCCTAATCACAATTACGATGTCATGATACGACATACCGATGATATTTGGAAAAGCCGAGTATGAATCTGATATTATTGAATCTAGTGATCAAACCTCGTGTAAGATGACAAACCCGGTCTTACTCGATACATTTACAAATCCGTCTTATGCAAACGTCATGTATAGTTGATTCCACATATAACTTGGAGTCTAAGGTTGTCTATGGTTCAATTTCGTACTACATTATCTTCGCTTCAGGGAGGCTCGTGATGCATTAGAAAGGGGCTGAGGGAGGAAGCGGGAAACAATACATTTTCAGATCATTTACCAACCAAATACTGTAGGCCTAACGAGTAAGATTTGATCCTCTTTGAATAGTGACTCATTTAGTACTCAAGTTAGAAGTTAACCAAAGCCATATTTCTGTTTAATTATTATTTGCTGAACAATAAAGTATTTCCAGTGTACCAATGCGGCGATTATGTAGCATTACTAATATTAACGAAATAGCTCTTAGCTATTGAGGCCTCTCAGCATTGCTTAATACATTTGAGAGTTCACAAATATGTCATTATGTCTTTCAATCGTCCTTGAAACACGACGATATAATATGAAAGCCTAGTAGCTTATAACTTTGCCGTATAAATCATACTTGTATTACCTTACATAGAAGACGTATTCATTTCATGTTTGCACATATAATCCATCCCCAAAGCGGCATACTATAATAGTCCCCCTATATCACACAGTTCGATCTAGCCACCACTCCCTTTCTTAAATAATCGTCACTCATAAGAACAGTTTAGCAATCTACCGTGTATGATCATTGTAATTAGCTTGGCACAAAGATAGTTGCAAGTACTTGTAAGTTTGTGATTTCCATTGGAATGTATGACTTGGCGCCTCGAAGTTTCAAGGATACCGAGTCTCTATGTTATCATCTGATCGACCTTCATTGTGTTCACTTGTGCCTTCCCCTCCCATAAGGCTGTCAGCTCGAAGCTCTAGGATCGTCCAATCAGATGTATAACTCTCCACCATCTCGTTCTCTAACCCAGTAATTAATTTATTCTAATCAATTCCTTTAATGTCATGATGATGTTCGTTCAGTGACTTACCTAGTTATGATGTTCCGCGGTAGCTCAATTACAGGTGGATATATAGTAAATCGTTTCAATTACTCACATGTATTCTAAGCTACCAAAATACAGTAAAGAAGTTCGATATTTATATTTAGAATGGAGTAAAAGGAGGAAATAGAGGAATCAGAAAGACATCCTTTCTCTTTCTCCTTAGCTTTATCATTACATTCTACTAGGCTCCCTCTCCTTTTGATATCTCACTACTGAGGCTCTTTCTGACATGCCACCGTCTAAAGACCTTAGAGAAGGGTCAATGGAATTCGTATTAATCATCCGTCTCACGCGGGATATGTTCGAAATTATTTGAACAAGTCATACAATAATAGGAAAAGATCTGTGATTATTTAATCCGAGATGAACTATAGCACCAGACATAAGCATTCAAAAGGACCCCTGGGGTTATATAAAGGAAGAAGAAAATGAATTTTACTTGGTTTACTGATATTGTTGCTTGATCATATATACTTCTAGCTTCCTCTTTTCATCTCTCTTTCTTCTTCATCATATATCTCTCCCGAGGTGATTTCCCTTTTTCATCTATATTTATTTACGTATATGAGCAGTCAGCAGAAGCCAAGTAATTAAGTTGACTAGCGTCACTTCCAATCATCTCATCCAGGTATGTAAACAAGATGCTATTAATCTCAAAAGCTCTCGTTACCAATACACAAAAAGTATGTCATCGCGTAAGTGATCATGACCATACAAGAAGCTCTGTGGACAATGACTACCGGTAGTCTTCAGATTCCTTGCGACGCATTTCATTCAGTTTGAATTACCCAATATTTGTATGAAGACAGGGAGCTCAATTCCATATGTTTGATTGCTAACGTATCGTAGTGTATAGGAGAGTCCAAAGGAGTCATTCTATGAGATGAGCGGGACACCGTGATTTGAATCATTTTCAACGATTGGAATTTACTAATCTACCAGATAGATCCTACCTTCTTCACATGCATGATAACACTCTATTATTATGGAACTACGCATTGCCAATAACTCCATACCTTTTATGTGGGCAGTTGAATGTCCCATCCTAACATCAATCACACACAACTTTAAGTTGACGCCACCCCAAGCAAAAAAGCCACTCTTTCATCGTTGCTTCATGAACGGTATGAATTGTATTAGTTTGAAATGAGATTTGCTTATTCCCTTTTCTTATACTCGAGTGTTATAGATGCAAATGCTTAGTCCGACGTGGTATTTATGTGTACAAGACCTTAAGATGATAAGCGTATTAATTTGAAAGTAAAAATGTGGAAGAGAAGATTTCGGCATAACTCATACGACGGAACAGCAAATACACGTAAGACACACCAAAAAGTGGCCATGAGTTACCCCACATACAGGGGTTTAGCCAATAATATCATCACACTGATTGAAATTTAATATAAGTGAACTCCAGATAATTAAAGTATTATATATTCATATTTCTATTATTATCACCACCACCACTACCACCACCACCACCACCATACCATCATCACCATCACCACTATATCATCATCATCATCACCATCACCACCATCACCACTACCCAGCGGGGAAAGAAGACCCCGAAAGCTTATGGGGTCAAAAGTTAAAATACTAGTCGAGTTATGTACTGCTGTAGGTCATAACTGGCAAGATAACCTGGTACGGGGTAGCCTAAAAGATGTCAAGTCTCATGGTAATCTCATGGCGAGTTCAGTAATATGAACCGTCGTAAACGCGTTGAAAAGGTGTCGGTAGAGTATAATACTCTGCTTAAGGTACATGCCAAACCCATCTGAAAGGATGTTCTAATATTAAGTCCCTAGAGGGCGAAGTATTCAGAAGGCTCAAATGCAAGAGAAAATGCTGCATTGTATGGCTGGTATAGAGGCTATTCTAATAGGTAACTTTGAAATTTCAAAAACATCCAGCATCACAGACACAGACAGCGGGCAGAGGTATAACATCTCGGCAGCGCTTCCGTACCCCTATATCATTCGTCCAAATACATGAAGGCTCGTGCGGGCACAGCTGCTTACAGCCGTTCGCACAACCATTATGAGAAATATTCGTGACATGTGTACAGGCTGTAGTATGCAGAGGGTTTATGCAGACCCAGGTGACATCTCGATTTCGATCGGTTCGACCCCGGCGGCATATGTGTGCGATTTCGAACCCAACAGGCAGTGTGCGAGACCCAGCGTACAAATGGTGTAGTATCCTATGCAACCCCATTTTATTACGCTCTCCACCAGCCCAAAGCTTCTTCGTACGATACCCTGAGGATTCTCCGGCGGCAACCCTAACAAACCAGCAATCGTCCGTGTTCTTAGGTGCATGAAGCGCCACAACATCCCGAGCAACCTGGAACGACAGAGGTTAGATAAGGTTCATAGTCAAGATTCAGGGTAACATACCTCTTTCGCAAGCTTAAACCAAGTCAAAGCCCGTCCATCTGAAGCTGATAACGGCATCTGTAACTGTGTACCGTCCCCGCCCCTTCCCCCCCCCCCAGTGTACCAATCATTGGGTGGTTAATTCGCAAGGCCCTAGCCTAACGTTTGATAGAAGTCGAAACGAAATATGCAGAAATGTTTTTTGAAACAGCGTTCGACTGCCCTAAAACTGAAGCCTGTGGACCCTTCGAAACGGATAAAGACACAGCGGCAGCAGGCGTTACAGGCGGAGAGAGTCGATTCTGAGACAAGTCCCCCAGCATCTTGCGAGGAGACTTCGATCGGGATTGAGGAGCATTGAAAGTGATAGTAGATTGCATTTCTAAATGTAAAGATTAGGGTTGAAGTCGTAGAGCCTATCACGGGGCTGGTACAGGTGCTAGTAGGGACTAGGTAAGATGTATGATATTCGACAAGGAGAGAAGGAGGCGCGTGGAGCAACGCTGACTATATAATAAATAGATGCCTAAAGCATTTATTCGATCTAACTAAAAACGGGTAATGTACATATAACAAATACAAATGAATACAAATAGATGTAGATAGATGCAGATAGGTATAGGTAGTCATGTGTAATAAACCTATAATAATACCTCCTTCTTTCAAACCTTGTTTATTCTCAAACAAATGTACAATATAACAAACAATATAAAATCCCTGTTTCTTGTAACAAATTCCTATAAATTCCATCAAGTTATTTCAATTATATATCTTATTCCTCAGTTCTTCTGTTTTATCCATTGTTCATTATCAAAACTATAATCATCGAAGGTTACTATATAAGTATAATCATTAAATCGAATACTTTTCTTTAACTTGATATTGTTAACTGTAACCAAAAGGGTATAAACAGGACTCCGATTGTGTACATAGAACCTACAAGTGAAGAACTATGTAGGGTGCTAAAAGGAGGACTATATATACAGGTATTTGAGAGCCATAAAGGCTAGGCCCAGAAGAGTGAAAGAGTCCTAGAGATAAGCATCGTACGATGCCTAGGTCTAGAGCTGTAGAGCTAGGGCTCTAAGCTATGAAAGGAAGGTCCAAGAGAGCCGTTGTATCATGCTACGTATGTAGTATGAGCCAGTGGGTGGAAGAGAGCCGTCTGTTCTGTCACATTATCGATACTAGTATTTCAAGACTATTTTTTTAAACTATTATACCTTTTTCAAAAATGAATACTATAATTTTAAGCTTTGTTTAACAATGAAAAATTAATACAACTTTATAATAATACTTCAGTTTTTAAAATATTTTGATTAATTATCTAAATATGATTTAAATGAATCAATATTATTAATTTAAAGTTATGATTTTCGAAGAATATATCCACTTTTTTTCGATAATTTAAGCGATTTTACCCCTCGAAAATATGATATTTGTTGGAAGTTGGGGTTAAATGGTATCACGTGTGTGCAAGCACGTGACTGGTAGAGACGCTAGTGGTTTCCCCACTAAGGTGATAACCTTGAGTGGGAAGAGAAGCTTAACTCTACATCCTTCTTACCCTACGGGCACCTCAGGAGGGTAAATCGGCCATTTTTTGCAAGCGTCCTTTTTAGCGTATGTATTGAGATTTGAAGCTAAAAAGGCCTCCGATATCGTTGACCACCTTCTCCCGGGCCTCCACCTCCCTGGCCCTCTCCCTGGCTCTCTCCTCCCTCGTCGTCGCTAACTCTTTATATATATAAACAATTGAAACCATTCAAACTTACTGAATATTGAAGCATTGAAAGCATTCATTCTAACTTACTGAATATTGAAATACTGAAACCATTCTAACTTACTGAATATTGAAAGCATTGAAAGCATTTAAGTTGATTTGAATGAAAAGTTGTAGAGTTGATTGAAAGATTTCGGTAGATATGAATGAATTTGAAATCATCGATTTAGGGTGAAAAAAATGAAGCGATATCGAACTAATTCATATTAGGCTTAAATCATGATTTCAGATCTCAATACAAGATCTCATTACATTTCATTTCACTTCAATATATGATTTAGTATGATAATAACCCACTGGTGGGTAAATTACCCTCCTGAGGTGCCTGTAGGGTTAATATAGTCAATAATACTGCTACTTCCACCACGCCATAGGGCATCACTTTCTAACATATACCTGATTTCCTTGGACATTCTACCATCTCATCCCATCCCATCCCAAGAAACTTTGAAACATTCATTGGAGAAAAACATGGTTATTAATAATGGGATTCAATTTCTTGGTACGAGATGAGGCTATATAGAGGCCTGTTAATCGTATCTGTCATATTTATTTCTAACATGTTCCCCCATAGGAGGCCAGCCTAGTCCAATATGAAGCTTTTCAGGATCCAAATCCTATTTCCAGTTTTTCCATTCCCAATATAAACCTTGAAACTATTCTATGTTTCTATGTCACCTAATATCGAGCTTGGAAGTATTATAGTATTTAGAATCCGAGTTTAACTCTATTCTATATTCCAATCTATTGTTAGAGCTACCCGCAGGTCTTATTATTATATCTTTGAAACCTGGTATCGAATCTATGAATATTGTGAATCATTACTACCACTATCTGCCCAAGACTTATAAAATAATCGAAAGTCATGAAATCGTACAGATCGTAAAAGGTTTCAATCATCGAATCGAAAAATGAAAAGAATCAGATATAATTGTAAGGATATTCAAAGTTTGAAACATAAGCTACAAAAAATACCTAAATAGATATGTCTTCACTTTTCTGTATTGGCTAGATATCAAGGATTCAAGACGATGATATCCTAGATATCAAATCTGGTATCTTCTGGATTGATGTTATGAACTTGAAGCCAGGAACCCTTTCTCATATTTGTCCCAAGGCAGCCTTAAGGTTAATGCAAGGCTACCATTTTTTAAACTTCACTTCAAGGGAGTAACCTAGCTAGTAGTCCTTTTAGTTCTTGAGTTGCAGACTTATTTACCTGAGTTTTGACAGGTAAGTTGATTCACTGTACCGTATAAGGCGGAGTCATCTTATTTACCCATAATAACCAACCATCTAGTCACATGCTCCTGTCCCTACTAACCCCTCTACCCAATAAACTGCACCTTCCCCTACCTAGATCTCAATAGAATGCTGTCAGAAATAGTGAATTATGATGACAAATAATCCATTTCATAATACTCTTAGGAATAGCTTCAATAATAACTCCTCTTTAATCTCTTATTATTATTGGTTCTTGATAAACTTGAATGAAGATTTTAGAAAGTCTAGTACATAAGATATTACTTTAATCTCTTATTATTATCACTTTAAATTACTATCATACCACTTAGAATCTAATCTCCTATCATAGATTCTACTCTTCCACAATATTCACCCTTCTACCATAAACTCTACCCTTCCACTATAGATCTCCACCCTTCCATTGTATCTACCACTTCAACTATATTCACCCTTCCACCATATTCACCCTTCCATCATAGAAACCCTTCTATTAGATATATCTTCTTCTCATCATAGAAACCCCTTTCACTATAGAAACCCTTCCACTATAGATTCTATTATAGAATCTACTATAGAATCTAAGTGGTATGAGAGTAATTTACTGTATTCTAATCTTACAATCGATTTGTAATTCTATTCAAAATTAGAAATCTTCTCATAATAAAATAATAGATAAGAAGAGGAGGAGGTGATAATCTTATAACGAAATTAAATGAAATTATCAAGTGATCGAATTGTATTCGAAATTAAGATTGAGTTATTATTGAAGCTATTTATTTGTCATCATAATGAGGTAATATTCTTAGTTTATTCGTCGCTCAAAAAAGCAACAGACCAGTTACATTTACTTCACCATGTGACAGAACAGACGGCTCTCTTCCACCCACTGGCTCATACTACATACGTAGCATGATACAACGGCTCTCTTGGACCTTCCTTTCATAGCTTAGAGCCCTAGCTCTACAGCTCTAGACCTAGGCATCGTACGATGCTTATCTCTAGGACTCTTTCACTCTTCTGGGCCTAGCCTTTATGGCTCTCAAATACCTGTATATATAGTCCTCCTTTTAGCACCCTACATAGTTCTTCACTTGTAGGTTCTATGTACACAATCGGAGTCCTGTTTATGCTCTTTTGGTCACAATAATCATAATCAAATATTATCCTCGTGAATAACTTATTAATCTTAAAATGACCCACTAATACACTGGCTGGTGGGTAATCTGCAGGTAATCTGCAGATCAATGAGATCTACTCCAGTAGTAACAAAAGACGTTTTGTGACAGAACAGATGGGGTTCAGTTTCGTCCACTTAGCATAGGCCATATGGGCCTAGATGGTTTCTTTCCTTTTACCTTCCTTTCGTAGCCCCCGATTTACCAATACACGCTTGAATGGTAATGCTGAAATACTGATGGTGAGCAAAGTCCAGATTGTTATCTTTCGTCGTCTTTTTCTTTCGTACTCTTCTATTGGAGTAATTGAAAAAAAGGTCACCGCCGTTGCCCTGAATGTGTTGAAGCTGATTTCACCAAGGGTTTCCTTGATGCACCGTCTTGCTAGTTACATATCATAAAAGATCTCTGTTTGCAATACATAACATGCGTGAGTATGGCACGTGACCATGGATTTGCTCACCTCTAGAAATTATTATTTCCGAGTTACCGACAACTTCCTCTGGCCACCACCATCACCGCCATTCAGTGGGACTCGTCGTGGGCACATTTTAAGTGAATCGATTGAATCTGATTTCAGATGAGTTATAATTTTGCAATTTGCTAGAGTACGCGCTGCCGACAATATGAATATCTAGGTAGGAGGGGGGG